GTGTCGTCAAGACCAGAGAAAGACAGACAGGTGTTCCCTGGTCACCACACTCTCCCTGCCTCCTACAGTGTTTTGGTGGCCTCCCGTATCCTCTCTACCTGGGATTAACATTCATAGACTCCACTCTTTTGTTCTAGGGATGTATCTACTATATGCTTCTGTATTTGTGGTTCATTTTTATCTAATAAACAACACCGTAGAGGAAAAATGCTAGTCGTTGATAAATCTGTTAAGGAACGAACACAAACCAGCTCAAGTTATCTGCTCATTGGAATATAATGTTGAAATGCTATAACCAAAAAACCTTTAACCACGAGGCACATCTGGAAGGTGGGGATTACCGCTGTGTAACTGAGGCAGTGTGTTGTCGGGGTGTTGGCTCATATTCAGTAGCTAATTTGGGTTTGTTAAAGAGTCTTAAGGGGCCAGTTTAGGGCTCTTAAGTTGTCACGGTAATATTTTGGGAGTGTGTATACTTTTGAAGATATGCCCTATGCCGCCCCCCCCCCCCTCCAAATAGTACTAAGATGTATGACCCCTAATTATTTTGTATAGGTCACCATACATAATACTCCGGTAACTTTTGGTCATCACAAATACACTATTTATGTTTCCCATTATCAATACTTTCCAAGACAGTTATGGAACATGAAAATTCCTACCTATGTCTTTTCTTTATATAAAACGTCTACTCAACTAAAATTACTAAAAAAAAATCACCTCGATATATTCACCATTTGAGTATTATTTTACCTTTATTTCCACGTAACAACTCTAAACTGATTAAATTCAGTACCTATATAAGTGTTACCTGCCATTAGTCACCCCTTATCTCAGGTATTCGATCCTTTACCTAAGGCGTGACAGTTCATAGGGCTTCACGCGAAAGGAGACGAAGCATTGAGTGAAAATTGAGATGTGAGTTTCTCTTGAACCAGCGTGTGATGGTGGTGGTGATAGTGGTGCTGCTGTTATTGTTAGTGATGGTGGTGCTGTAATAGGTCGTGATGGTGGTAGTGTTATTGTTGTTGTCAGGGGTTGTGATGGTGCAATACATGGTGATAGTATAGCACCGGTAGTTGTTGGTGGGTTGGTAAAAGTATAGAAATTGTGTTAAAGATGGTGATAGTTATTGTGGTTGTTGCTTGTGATGCCACTTTGTTTATGAATAGTGGTGGTTGGAGGTGGTGGTAGGTGTAATGCAGGTAGAGTGGGGTAGCGAGGAGGGGGGGAGGGGTGGGGAGAACCAGCTTGTGTTGTTGGTAGAAGTAGTGATGGTTGTGGATAGTCGTGGCAGTAAAGGTATTTATTATTATTACCGTCAGAAGTAGTTGTGATGGTAGACCAAGTTGGTGTGGTGTAAGAATGACTCCACAGACTCTACATATCACAGGATGTGTACTCCCCGGTTCTTGATAACACAACACCAGCACCACCAAGCTCCACTGACATCATTACCACACCACACCTAAAATAAATATACCACAAACCCTAAACAAACACGTATATGAATCTATGGACTATTTATACAACACATGACTACTGAATTACTGGTATACTATTTATACACAACTGGTCTATTTACAAAGTTGAAACATACATCAGCTGATCATTTAATATTACAAGCGACTTATTTACACAAAACAGCTTATCTATCAAATTCACACAAAAATTCGGTATAATAATGAAGTACGGTAAGTGTCTGTGTTAGTAAAGTATTGTGGACTAGTAGACATTCATAACACGTTTTACAAGTCTCAAAAACTCGTTAAATTGATGCCAAGGATCCGAAGCCTCGTTTATTGACGGTATGAATACAAAGCTTCATTATTTCGATGTTTTAATTAATCTTATGTTTAAATTTGTTCACAATCCAGTGTGATATTAATAAGCGGTAACCCTTGGTGAGTCTCCTTCAAATCAGATTGATTACAATAGGCACCAACTCCTAAGATAATACCTGTACAGCCAGCCATCAAGTCACAAGCGTACCACTGACTCTACTAACTTGAGGTGGACAAATTTCTCCCACACCACACTACCCCTCCCAGTGTATAGTGTCTTCAGAACTGCACTGCCATCAGTTTTAGTATTTAAAGCAAAGTATATGGTTGAATATCAATTTAATATGGCATATATAATTCATTGTCATTCTATTGTAATTAATACTAATATCACAAATTAAAAAAGAATTATTGTCAACAAAGGTAACAGGTAAACTTGACAGGTTAACCAAATTATACAAGAAACTGCATGTCATCCTTCGATATGAAACGAAAATGGAAAAAATCGAAAGGGAAATAAAACACAAGATAAAGTCCAGCTCACCACAGCCCGGGAGAGGAGTGTTAAAGATTCAAGACCATGTTACCTCCGGCTTGTACAACACACCTACCTGGCGTCAACAAAGATAATGCATGAATCCTTCTATCTGGTAAACAAGACACAAGGTCGATCATGGAACTACTGTAGACACTCGTCAAAGTTGAACTGTGATTTTATTGCCTGACAACATCCACCCGTTCAGCTTAAACCAATAACACGATAGAACAATGATGATACCATTTGTTCGAATGTTTATTAATGTTTACTAACGGCACCTGATTGTTAGGCTATACAAGACCGGATAATTAACTGGTTTTAATTGATAGGGAGAATTTAAGTGACATCTTCTAACTATACCAGGAGAATACTGGCACGTTCCACCATAGTAACGTGTGGGGGACGGGGTCGATGTACAAAAAATACATCCTAAAAAAAACATGTAAATTATACGATTATTATCTGCCTTAACTAGATCCGTTAACTTAGTAACTGTTTGGATAAAATTAAGAGTAGAAAAAGCTTTAACGAATGTTTAACTACAGTTTGTTCTCAAGGTATTACGTGAACCTGTCTAGCTGAGGGAATCTCAGTTTAACTTAATATTGTTACACACGTTGTTCAGCGATGCGTTTTACCTTGAATCAACCAGTTATGTGCCTCCGTCAATCATCGTGTGGTGTGAGTGAGAATCAGACCCCAGCAGGACTAGACACTGGCCAATAACCTCTCACACCACCAAGGACAATCTTCCTAACTTGCACATCCAGATACCATCACAAATACCCAGTAGGGCGGACCCTCTGGGATGTAAAAGGGGCACCACCACCATGCCGGGGCTCCAGATGTGCTTAAACACACCACGACACCCTAACAGATGGATGCAGGGGAGCTTTCTTAACCTGCTACCACCAGAACTCTTGTGTCGGGGATCACAAACAACTATCATCAATCATCCAGGGCAAAATAAGTACTTAATGAGGAATATTCGTCGATAAAACTAAATATCTTAACAAACAAACAACTGTCCCTCTAATTTCTACAATGGCTTAGGGCTGATTGGAACACTTCAGTTCTTTGGGCGATTTCCAAGTTATTTGCAATTATCCGATACGTAGTTTTAGATTGGTATATAAAATTATCGGTGTCAAAGTCCATATTAACCCACCATAACAGATACAAAACTCAGTCCTTGCTTCTTTCTGCATCGATGTTCTACGTCTATAGTTTGTAAACACCGGTGATAATCGAGCATTGACACGCATTTTACGAAGGGTTAGGTAATCAACACACTATGTAAACACAACACCCTCAATGCTGTAGGAATGAATACAGCGCGAGGGTGGGGGAGCGGGGAGGAGGAGGGGTGGGGTGATGGCTCACCTACATATTATATTTCACACAACATACCACCTTCAACCCGTATGATACGTAGCGCGCGTACTAAATATAAAAATGCACTTAATACCAACTGTAACTCTTTCGATTTTACAAAACACATTTCAGGGTAACGTGTTTAAGAAACTAAAGAATACAAAAGCAATGCACCTAAAAAATATTACGTAACATATTTTGAAGGGTTTGTTTAAAAAAAAGCAGCATGGTGGTACAAAAATATTTTCGTAAAATACTTTAATACTGTGAATAAAATATAGCCACCGTAAATGAAACTATGTCCAGGTATCATTCACCTGTTAAAACCGTCATAGGAACATGCACTAGTGTAGACACTCCCACACTGCACCAAGAAAACACCCTCCGGTAAACTTACGAGAAATATTTATGAGTGTTAATGGTATCGACGACAACCAATTTAAAAATGTAGATACACCATACAGTCTACTGTATCTTTGATCAAACTGTCATAAATTAAGGGAGATTTCAACGAGTTCATGTTGCGTCGTTTCATTTCCGCTTGTTACACACGGTCAATTTATACGAAAAGCTCTACATGAAAAAATTTAATTATCATCCAAATAAGCAACTGTGTAAGCATTAAATATCAAATCTGAGATTAAGACAAATGAAGAAAAAATCTAGAACCAAACTGCACTGTAGATTCCACACAGGAATCGTTGTAACGGAATAAGAAACTTATCGTATAACCCAACTAACGATAATTATGAAGATATAATATCAACAGTTCTCTCTAATAATAATAACGTTTTGTTATTTATTTTGTAATAAAATAAATATTCATAAAATGAGAAAAAGAAAATATGAAACTGTTTAAGCTTCGGTCATAAACCAGTCTACCCTCGTTAAAAACTAAATTTGACTTTATATGCTTAACAGGTACCGTACCTTCACGAAAACTACTGGGTCAGACAAGCGTATTATGTGTAAAATGGCTTAAACAAAACTCAGTTCACGAATAGGGATGAAACCAAAATCGCAGGATTTATACGTTCATTCGTCAAGTTGTTTACGTTAGATTTCCTGGTGTAAACAAAATCTGAAGTGCTATAATTTAAAAAATATTTTCATTTCCTTACTGCAATTCTCTTAACCCCTAAAGCCACAGAGATCAATACAAGAGAAACAGGTTTCATGTCAAGTGCTGCAGTGAGCAATGAAGCAATCCCACCCGCACGACGGGATGTGAAAGTATTGCTAAATTCAGTACAGCTGTTCTCGGTACATACTGTACACGAGACACAGCTGTTGCTAATGTAAAAGCTAAGAAACATACAAATGTTTTTAATACGAACCCAAGAAACAGATATGTGCTTCAGGCCAACAAAATGAAAAGTCACGAAGCCTTACCTCTGGTCTCCTCTTGGACAAGTCGACACCATCATTCTCGATGTAGTCCGGAGTTTCCTTCTTACTACTAGTGAAGTTGAACACCAGCGTCGTATTCTCCTGCTGGTGCCAACGATCTCGATGGCTCGCCGTTTTGGTGGTGATTGGGGTACTCCCCGGACTATTACCACTAATGTTCGCAAGGGGTTGTTTATTGGTGGTGTTAAACGCCTCCACCAAGCTTCCCTTGTTCGAGCTCCTCACCAGCTCGTCAGCAGGAGACGGCGAGGATTTGACCGGCTCCGTTTTGACGGGTGACACCACCTCTGATTTTGGTTCGGCTTTCTTTGGACTTGGCTTCTGGGGTTCTACTTTTGGAGAGGGTTTGAAAAGTTCCACTTTTGGGACAGATTTGTTGGATTCGACTTTGGTTTGTTTTGGGGTTTCGACTTTTGTTGGGGTATGCAATTTCATTTGCAGGGACTCCACTGATGACGTTTGTGGTCGGGACTTCTCCGCGTTCTTGAGGTTCTCCTGATGAACGCGATCACTCTCCTGTGCCCTCTCACCTTTACTACTGAAGGGCGTGTGGGCGGGCACTCTGTGAGACGCCACTGGGGAGGCGGGTAAGGGCGTGGGCGTTGGGGAAGACGGCTTAGGTGTCGCTAGCTGGGCACCAGGGGTGTTGACAGGTTGACTTGTAAAGTTAAATTCCTGAGAATGACTCTCCTTCCTGATATTAGAGACGGCAATGTTGGATACCCTCCTTACCCCTTCCTCTACCTCGATCGCACTGAAACTTTCGCCCTGTGCCTGCCTGAGCCCGGGGTCACCATTCACCAAGGGTGCTGTAACTGACGCGCTCACGGGGGTCAACCCAGGCCGCACCCTTATTGTATTAACTATTTCCTGACCAGAATTATTAGTAGAGGCAGTTCCATCTCCGTTTAGGGCTGAAGCTCGCACACTTAATTTGGTCCTGGGTGATGGCCGCGACACCTGAGCTACTTTCTTGAGAGACGATTTTGCCTCTTCAATAGTGACAGGGTGTGCGGAGGACGGGGGAGTCATCTTCCGGGGTGGTACTACTGCAGGCTTGGCTTTAAGGGCGGGTTTAGATGCTAATGCAACACCGTTGGCCTTCGATGACTGAGCTGCTTTGTGCGCGGCAACACGAGCAGCTGTGCCCCGTGAGGGACGGTTACCCACAGGTTCGAATATCCTCTTTACTTGACGTACAGTGTCAGGGGCTGGCAAGTCTTCCTCTTCCACCAAGCTGGAGGACGACAACTTGCGAGTGAGTGGAGGCGGCTCCCCAGCATCTACGGTTTGAGCAGCACCATTTACTGCCTTTTGCTCCATGGCCACGGTCCTGGTGGTCTCTATAATGATGACGTCATCCTTGCCCAGCGCACACAGACTAGATTGGAGACGACTTGTCACCGACCTACTCTTAGGAAGGCCTGAAGTTCTGGTCCTAGTGGTGTCCTCAGATAGTCTACTACTTAAAGAATCCACAGACCGCGCCCTTCGCATCACCTCACGTCGGTGGCTGACGGCAGACTCCGGGGCAGCGCGCGGCTTGGCAGCACTGGTGCCCCTTTCCTGCCACGTTTCCCGGGGTTCAGTATCAAGCAAGTCCTCTAAAGAGCTGAACCTCCGCAGTGATGGCCGGGATCTGCTCTCTCTCATGGCCAGACTCATGTACCGGTTTTTGAGCTTGGACACGATACCCGGTCCATACCGAAGTTCCTCATCTTCTTGACTGTAGGAGTCGCTGACGGAGGAATACGTGGGCGAGGTAACCCTCGGCCCCTCGTCATTTAAACCCTTATGGTGCATGTTGTTGGGTTCGTTAACACTCGATAATTCACTGGTTACTGCATATTTCTGGCTCTGACTTCCATCACCACCACTGACAGTTGCACGAGCACCATCCAAACGTGAACTGACCGCCGTGTTGTTCGCATGAGGCGGCGGGTGGGGGTGGGATGGGGTCGGGCCACTCAGCGAGCGTGCTACAGCCTGATGTGCTCCACTCAGTGAGGATGGTGCAGGCTGGGTATGGCCACTCAGCGAGCTTCCTCCACGACCCGCCATCGGTGGTGTGGGAGTCGGGAGGCCAAATCCCCCGTGAATTCTAGCATTGGCTCTTTTCCGTAATATCAATTCTCGTTTCCAAGACGGGAGTTCGTCTAACGGGGCTTCCTGTCCACTCATGTAGCCCTGCATCGTAGCCATGATAAAATTCTGAACCTCTTATCGGTCAAAACATCCGTCAATTGAGATATCACACTTCCTGAGATAGTTTCACACCACACACTTCACCATTTCATGCAGTGAGTTAGTTTCCATGCAAGACTAGAACTGTACACTATATACACACAGTATTTGTATCAGGTTGTTAGTATTATACACAAAATAGCATAATTTGGCGTTGAGGGTGGCAGAGTGGCGACCACCGCCACCGTTCTATCTTCACTGTTGTTGATAAGCTACTAGCTCAGTGGGGTGGTGCTGCGAGAATTAGTCTTCCAATCCAATTGTTTATATTTTTGGCTCAAATATCACAATGATAATATAGAGGTATCCTTCATTATCTAAACAGAATAATTAATTTTAAGAACGGGATGAAATAAATGAGTACTGTCTACTTTTTAGCGTTTATTGATTGAGTGTCTGGTGGTACTTGGCGCGTGGTGGAGTGGTTGAACAGCCACCTAGCGGCAATGGTTGAAAGCGCACCGTACTCACAGCTGACACCACTTCTAACTGTACATCCTCTCCATACTTACTCTAAACCTCAAAACATATAAGCTGGCAATTTTCCCTGTACGTCACCAGCTTGTGGCCTTTTTAAGATTACACCGAGGAAATAGATCCAGACTCCCTAAAGTTTAACAGTAATGGAATGGATATCGGATTTTTCACACAACACTGGAGGCAGCAAGGTGCCGTCCACATTCATTTACCGAGTAGGAAATTCACAAGCACGCCGCTACGCTTCGTCACACACTCCTAAAGCCCAATGCCAATCCCACCAACACGTTTGTCGTGAATTAATCTGGGTGTCGCAGTATATATGAATTCGATTTATGCAAGTAAATCACTGTAGGTGCGCGTGATCTAGGTATATGCTGATAACCACATTTACAGATTACTGAGATATGGATCAATTTAATTTTTGTAATCAAAACCTAATACCAAAATTAATAGGTCAGCGGAAGGCCGGTGCTCTCTCACTCACACTACTTGATATTGGTCTCCTTATCTGCAGATAAGATACGGACAAAATAGTTGTGTGATAAGCGTGCATGCCTCTTAATCAAACCATTATTGTTTTTATTTAGATTAAATCATTGATGACAAAACGGCAGGAAAGTGTAAATTGGGAATGCTTTAGACTCCCTAATATCATACTAAAGACTATAATTATGTAAGTTCATATCAAATAATGTGTTAGTATTATCACAGGAAATGTTGCGTGAATGTGGAAAACCTAATTAAAGTGTGACATGACGCACTTCCTGCCCCCCCGCCACTTGTCAGCGATATGTCCGTCACACTGCCTGAAGACAGTCAAAATAAGGTAATTCACAAAAAATAATATACCATAATATTATAGATATCCTTTGATCTATCACACACCAGAAACCATTCCTAACTGAAAATTCCAAAAGTTATTTAGTTGTTCATAATAAATCCCACTGTTCATGATATACCCCACTGCTCATTATATACCTAACTACTCATTATACCCCACTGTTTATTATACCACACTCCTCATTATATACCTCACTACTCGTTATACCTCACTGTTTTTTATACATTCACTGCTCATTTTATACCTCGCCGTTCATTATATACCTCACTGCTCATTATATACCACACTGCTCATTACATGTATATACCTCACTGCTCATTATATTCCTCACGACTCATTATACATCACTGTTTATTATATACCTCACTGCTCATTATATACCTCACTGCTCATTATATATCTCACGACTCATTATATACCTCACTGCTCATTATATACCTCACTGCTCATTATATATCTCACTACTCATTATATACCTTACTACTCATTATACCTCACTGTTTATTATATACCTCGCTGATCATTATATACCTCACTACTCATACCTCACTGTTCATGATATACCCTGAAACAGTGTGCTTTCATGTTTTAATCAGGGTAATCATTTATGGACACCCTGTATATATTGATGGCTTTTCGAATGTTTTTCTTGTTCCCACTACTCAGGCAAATTCTGCCCGGCGAGGAGCAAGATCTTGTAGGTTTATTAATTACTGATACATCCATGAATTACCTGATTAGATTTTGAAATGTTTGCAATTTCAATTTCAATTTCAATTGTTTATTCCTTGATAGAGGAAGCGGGATTCTAGTGCTGTCACTAGGTACCCCTGTACAATGACACCAGAGGCATCTGGCAAGTGTGACAAGTATATACAGTACAGTATAAATATTATAAAGGGGCTTACTAAAGCCTAAGGAAGGAAGGATATTCCTTTAACACATAATCAATAAAATTTACAAAATATCTGGCCAGTATGGGGAGGATCATCGTGTCTCCGTCAGGGGGTCGTGGAGTGGTGGTCCAGCAGGCGTCACGGAAGCGTTGTGTGTGGGGACATCTTAGGAGGTAGTGGATAAGGGTGCTGCTGTCGGGTCTTCTGCATAATGCACAAGAGCGTTGCTCAGGGGATGCGGGGATACCAATCTCCCAAGCAAAGTCATACCCAATGTTTGCAGTGATTTTTTTACCAGTGAAAACACGTGCTTTGCACAAATGTACTTTGAATTAATTTTCATGTTTCTATTTATTATTATTATTATTATTATTATTATTATTATTATTATTATTATTATTATTATTATAATTATTATTATTATTATTATTTTTTTTTTTTTTTTTTTTATTATCATTATTATTATTATTATTACTGTATTATTATTATTATTATTATTATTATTATTATTATTATTATTATTATTATTATACACGCGTTCTTTCATTATTTTGTCTGGAAAATTTAGTGACCTGTGGAAACTAACTCGCTTGTCACGAGGGGGAAGAGAAGAGAGATCTGACAAGGATTCTCAAATATTCGTGATTCATAAGTTAATTAATTTCCTTGTGACTAAGGATGAGAGATTTCATCTGGTAATGTTTAATTTACTGCAATAATGACGCCACTTTACCCTCTTAATGCTATCTTTCTGCAACAGCAAGCGTACGGTACACGAGGCTAGTTGTTGATATACTATATAAGTAATATGTGTTTTTAAAGTGTTGAGAAAAGGAGTTTTCCTTAAAATGGAGATACTAGGAATATAAAAAAGTTAACTAAAATTAGTTTGTATGTACGAGTAAATCTTTCTTTTAAATTACTAGCATCACCTTCATTACCCGTGAATACACTGAACAAGTCATGGTGACGTAACACACACACACCCTTACGAAACCTCCAAACTTGAGGGTTACACCGCTCATCAACATCACGACTCTATTTTCAAGATTCCTTCTATCATTGCTTATAAGCAGGCGTGCAGTGCTGCCGGAGCTCACCGGAGCGCCGCTCCGGCACCTCTGTTTTGATCAATCAATCAATATCGCCGACGCCTTGTTCCCCCTGGGGAACTCCCCAACAGGGGGTGGCCATGGCAGAAATGTCTCCAGGCCATTTTATCCTTGCACACTTCACTTGCTCTCTTTCCTCCTCCCCTGCTCTCTCTCCAACAAACTCTATAACTCGTTTCTCCCAGGTGGCAATTGGTCTACCCCTCCCAACATTCCACTCTCTCTTTGTCAGCCTGTCTTCATTCATCCTCAGCACATGTCCATACCACCTTAGTGCATTCCTCTTCATCCACTCCACCACACTTCACACATGAAGTTATAGTAAGCTCTATATGTTGCTATAAATCTAGATCAATCAACCTTATTTTGCATTATTAATACATATACAAAACTGAATATATCCTCATATAATTAATCTCTCCTTCAGATCAGCTTACATTTTATGACTTATCAATATTGTAGAAAGACTTTGATAACAGGTGCACTTCTAAACACTTAAAAACAGTACGTCCTCGCATAAGAGCTATAGATATGTGACCAATATCGAAAGGATAAGCACATTAGACTACTACTAGATCAAATATATATATATATATATATATATATATATATATATATATATATATATATATATATATATATATATATAGAGAGAGAGAGAGAGAGAGAGAGAGAGAGAGAGAGAGAGAGAGAGTTCAGGAAACGGAAATTATTTTGACAGCTCCGGCACCTTAAAAATTGGCACTGCAACACTGCTTATAAGTAATCCATTCGTGCACGACAGAACTTTAAAGTCTCGTATATCATTCGAACATTATTCTTATATTTACTGATGTTCTGTATAATATCTTTTAATGTTTGGGTTGGCTTCCTTTCAATCTTCCCTCCAATATGTAAGGCCATCAACCGTAATAATTTCGCTCATTTTCTTCGTTTATTACATCACCACTTTAACATTCTTACTTTTTCCTTTACATCTTTCCATTTGTTTTAATCTTTTGGACATGTAATACTCCAACGAGGTACTGAGATGGAGTATAACAAAACAGTAGATTATATCGAGTGTCCTTACTTGGAGCTGGCGGACGCTCGCCCCACAAGGGGTCACAGCTCAAGATTGAAGAAGCCGCAAGTCCAGAAAACTGTGAGGGCAAACTTTTTCGGAGTGAGGGTTGTAAACTCTTGGAACAATCTACCAGAAAGTGTTGTGACGGCACCGAGTGTGAGCTCTTTCAAGACAAGACTTGACCAACACTGGAGCAGGTTCAGGTACATTCAGGAGCCGGTGCATGCCCAGTACTTGCCAACAGTGCGTGACAGAGACGTGACCGATCGCCCAAGCGGCTAACGAGCCGATCAGTGGCGAAGAGGATAAAAGTAAAGTATGTAAAAGATATCTCTGAACGAGTCTGCCAGGCCCTGTATGTGACGACGAGAACTGTTGAACAGACTTCTAAATATTCTGGATGATTGACAATGACATTAGTACACCCAAGAGTTCGGGAGTGTTCGGTGACAGGCATTGATCAAGTTAATATGAGCGATAAGACGATCATTTTTGTTTTACGACTTTTTAATAAACAACATCAATAATTGGTGCAGCTGTAAAACTATACAAATGTCTAAACGTGTACTGTACTTAGTCTCTAGTCACTCACTAGGCCCTAGTCACTAGTTCGGGCATTCAGGAATACAGTATATCCCGTCTTCAGCTAAGCTTCTAAATACATACACCTGGCGTCCAATTTTACGTTGTTCTACAAATTACTTCTATGGGTATCTAATGACTATGAGCACACACTGAGTAAATATGAATACATCTATCTCAATAATATTAAGGAAAGTGCAAACAAAAGACATCCAAACTGTACGTGAAAATGATGACCGTTTTCTATGACTGTTTTTCTCTTGTTACTGGTAATAAACGACCACACTTGAAAATAACACAAGGATCCGAGGGAAGGAAAGCCGTTACAGACACCTGTATCTTGGGCGTTTGTGCTTATAGTATTTTAATTCGAGTGAAGAAATTAGGTATAACACATATTTGAGTTTATTTCAGTGCTTACACAGATAGTCTGTTGATGTCACCAGGGTTCTGTTTTATTTTTGTTCCGTTCTGCCACTTGTTGATTGAATAATTTTTATTGGGAATTCATTTGTGTAATATCGGTCTTAAACAATGGTAGTACTCAAGAAAACTGACTTCTTAAAACCAGCATATCATCATTTACAACAGTAATTTTAGGGAAATAATCGGCACAGTCTTGTATTTACCGAGTGTAAAATCAAGATTGACTTTATTGACATTAGTGAGACTAGAAACTCTACTAAGTATTGTATCAAATTCTGCACACATATATTGCTCCAAAAATAAACCAAACTATCCAGAAGGACTTCATGGAATTACACCAAATATGTAGATCTTTTTGGGATGATACTAAGTAAGAAAATCGAAATGGCAATGGACAGAACCTATTAGGACCTGACCTAAACGTAGCTAACTTCACCTAACTTCCTAACCTGTGCATTGTCATTTCGATTTTCTGCCTTCAGTGTATCCAGATGTTGCAGGCCTTTACCATGATGATTTTTGTCATTCTTCGCTGCACCGTCTCCAGTGAATTGATATCCATTCTATAATAAGGGCACCAGAACTGAGCAGCATAATCGGGATCCAACTAATTACCCAAATGTACCCAAATGTAGCCGCATTGAAGTCAAATAATGGTCCTACATGAATAAATCGGACTGCCACTCACTTCTCGACTAGTATTTGGTGTCACAAAGTAAAAAAAAATTGGAAAACATAATTTAATCTGAGTTAATAGATCGCGTGCATGTACCTAACCTGACCTAACCTCGACTAGTATTTGGTGTCACGAAGTCAAAAAAATTGGTAAACTTAATTTAAGCTGAGTTAATAGATTGAGTGCATGTACCTAACCTAACCTAACCTAACCTAACCTAACCTAACCTAACCTAACCTAACACAACTCAGAATAAATTAAGTTTACCAATATTTGTGACTTTATGACACCAAATAATAATCGAGAAGTGATTCACAGCCCGATTTATTCATGTAGGACCATTATTTGACTTCATTGCAACTACATTTAGGTTCATTTGGGTAATTACTCGCTCCCTCGGTACAATCACGCGATCTATTAACGCAGTTTAAATTAAGTTTTCCAATTTTTGTGACCTTTTGACACCAAATACTAGTCGAGAAGTTGTTGGCAGTCCGATTTATTTATGTAGGACCATTATTTGACTTCATTGCGGCTACATTTGGGTAATTAGTCGGACCGGCATAATCGAGGTGCGGTCTGACTAGCTTCTTTAATGACCCAGAAGCAGAGACTGGGTTCATATTCTGTGTCGCTGCCTTCATTTTTGGTACCTTCTTAATGACTGTAGACACTATTGACTGGACCAGGCCAAGAGTGCAAGCCATATAGCATGCTGCTTCACAATGTCAAGTCACCTCCAGAGATATGGTTTTCCTAGGTGACTTGGCCTTCCCAGATGCAGGACTCCGCAACAAGCTTGCTAGACATTTTTAAAGTTTGCTCACTTCATAGTCACAAAAACAGAGTGAAAGCACGTTACAGTCACAAGAACAGAGCCAGAGCACTTGCCACAATCACAAAAACTGGGTACATTATGAATGTTAATGATGTCCTCTAACTACAAGGGGAAAACCATTGATGATAACTTAAAAACATTGATAGTGGCTGACACTGCTCACATTATTGCTCACATCATGTTCACAACAACAAAGGCAAAGCACATAGTCAATTTATAGCAGAGTACATAATTCGATGATTTGATTGCTAATGATAAATTCAGACAAAATCCAGGGATTTCATTTCTGACACTTTTGGAGGTCTTTACTCATAACCGAGATATTGGGAGATGAAAATCCGAAAACTACTAGAAAAGCTATTTCTGTACAGTATTTTATTTCTTGCCACCAACCAAATCTTGTGAGTTTTCTTTGCAAATAATAGTTTAGACAATTCTAAGACACTTTTCTACTTTGACATTTCTTTTGTACTGTGATGTTCCCCTCGCAAATGACCTGGAATCAAGATATTTAATATGCCTAGGGGTGGAGCCCTTGGTTAAGAAGTTTGGTAGGGTTAGGTAGTTTTGGTTGGTCTAACAACCATGTATTATTAATTAAGTTATCCTAACCAACTAAACCTACCTAACCTTACCTTGCTTTTAACCGGGGGCTCTGCCTCCAGGATCCCCCAATATAATAAATATCTCAGTTTTAGGTTGTTTGTAAGGGAAATGTCTTGGAAGAAAAGTGTCTTAGAATTGTCTAAAGTATTGTTTGCAAAGAAAAACTCACAAGATTTGGTTGATGGCAAGAAATGCAATAATAGCTTAGATTTTTTAAGTTTTCTGATTTTCAAGTCACGATATCTCAGTTATAGGTAAAATGCGAGAAAAGTGACATAGATAAAAATCGTCTTGTTTTGTCTGAACTTATCATTAGCAATAAAAATAATCCAATATTGCATTATCTCCTCTACTATAAATTGACCAAGCACTTTACAGTTACAAAAAGCAGCAAGAATCACTTCACAGTCAACAAAACAGAGTACTGTACTGTATTATACAATGTATATGTATGGTAAAAATTAAAAAAAATCTATGAAAAGTAAGAACACTGATACTGATTGATAATTGTTGAACTACACAATCATGGGCAGATATGATAACCATGGAGCAATGCGTTGGACTGGAGTGCACCAACTGGCAGTGTGACGGCGCGGATAGATGACGCTGCCAGCTGACAAGTGCAGCTAGAGATGCATTCCATATTCTGTGCGTCAGTAATTTTGGCTGGACGATGACTATGGTTCATGTGAATTGTTTTGATTGTAAATTGGGGGATGATCTAAATACATCACCATAGTTCAAGCAAAATATTGTAATTAGGGAGATTGGAAATCGGCTGATCCTCATGTACTGTAATACCGTAGTTTAAACCGGGTCTGGGTTTACCAGCTACCCAACAAAAGTATCTATACAAGAAAACTTATTTTCACTTCAAGAATTAAGCAAAATTGAATGGAAGAGCAGCTTTTTTTCAGGTTTTTCCTTATTTTCTCTTACAGATAAAAATGCTGCCACCAGCCATCATGAGGAGGACTACAGTACATCTTTGTTTACTTGAGTAGGAGGAGTCCAGTATTTCAGAGACATTAATAACTCTAGTATAGTCTCGATTTACACGTATTTGGTTTGCGCGTTTGGTCATTTACGCGGCACCTTGCCAGACCGACAATTTTTATTTACTCGGTTCATTCCATCATTTACACGGGAAGCAGCACGGGCAGGGTGCGCACAAGGTCCCCAGTCATCAAAACATTGCCGAGTTCTTCACCCGCCACCCACCACAGCCGGCCCAAGTCAGTGATAGTGAGGATATGGACTTTGAGGGGTTTGACAAAGAGGCCCTGCAAGCCTCTGTGGTGGATAGTGATACATTTGATACAAGTGATACAGGTGAGGGCCAATAATCTGCCATCTGCCTCGTGTGCCCAGCCATCTTTTCTACTAACGTAAGTGTTAAAAAACCTAATATTATTGATATTTCTCTTAAATATTAATTGTGTGTGCATACCATCATAAAATTAAGATGTTGTTTTTACTACAACGTACGTATTGTGTCGGAAAAAGTGTAGTTTGGGGGATCGGCCCAGTCTCCATTTCAATTAATCCCATATGTTCTGTTATTTCGTTTACGCGTTTCTCATTTTACGCGGACCTCCACGGGTTCAATTGACCGCGTAAATGAAGACTATACTGTATTCTATTTCACATTCAATAAGAAATAATGGAAGTTGCAGCTTTAGGAAACTTTTCTGTATCAGTAGATAATGATGATAAATTATCCTCTCATATGTTGTGAAGATTATTACAGTATCTTTAAAAAACCCATAATTTAGTAGGATTTGTACTTTTGATAATACAGTACAGTACTGTATTGCACTGTACTAATACTGTATTCTTAATTTGGTTATACACAAGAATCTGGCAGCATCCCAGCAGTAGTGTTGATGTTCTTTACACACACACACACACACTCTCTTCCACTAAATGTTATTATATGTATTGCATTCTACTATGAATTATCTTAGATAAGTTGAACCAACAAAACTACTAAACCTAGCTATCCTAGGATAGAAGTATGTTACAGTATTATTACTGTTTTAGGGTATTGTAGGTTAGGTGGAGTCGTACAGAAAGGAAGGAATGTTGGTCAGTCATTTAATGGGAAGCATTTTTTTTTTTTTTTTTACGGGGTTTAGCCCAGCCGGGCACAGGTCACTGACCTACATCGGGGCCTGGGGGCGAAAATGTAATAATAATAATAATTCAGATAAGTAAAATTTATAATAAAAAATAAAAAAATAATAATAATAAAATAATAATGATAACAATAATAATAAGAAAGAACCATAAAGAAATAAAAAAAAATAGAAAAAGATCAAGAGTGAGAAACAATAATTGTATGTTGTGTTGTCAATGGTAAGATAAACAATTGAGACCCCGCAATTGTGTGTAAATGAGGCAGAAAGTCAGATGAGCAACCTGGGACTTGATCACAATTTTCGTGATGCCATATGGCAGCAGAGCCTACCGTTAGACAATACATTATACTTCCAATATCTTCCCAGGTGGTAGTACCTCCCTGTTTGGTAGCTGCTATGAAAAGTTTGTCATCATTGATGTGCAAACTTGGTCTTTTGTGAAGCAGGTGGGTGGCAGCATTAATATTAATGAGAAAATCCAGAAAAAGGAACTGAATATGAAAGTGATCTTACTTCACCAATTTGCTTTATTCTTGTGGTAAGAAATTCGTTTTCTTCAGAGTTTTTTTTTATGTAGATGGTTAACCTAGACCCTTATTATTAACTACTGTACAGTAATGTACAATACAGTAATACCATTTCTCTAAAGTACAGTTTGCAGTTCAGTAAATAATGTACAGCATAGTATTGTACAGTATTTCTAAATGTTTTTTATTTGTCCAGAAAATAATACAATACTGTAATACTGTACCTGTATAAAGTTTATCATGAAATTAATATTTGCAGGGGCTTTATGAGCAAGTCACTTCATAAACGGCTGTTCCTCTGTGATCTGGAGGTGGATGGTGAGGGAAATTTTTTTGTTCATGACAAGAAAGTATACCGAGTTGATGTTTATGGCACTGTGTCCTCCCTCCGTTTGAAAGAACGTGCTACACTGTTTGAAAGTAAGAATATGAAATGTTTATTTTGAAATCTTGTGATACACCTGTAGTTAATAGTGTAGCTACAGTACTGTGTAAAGGGAACTGTTCTTCTCGGTTCAAATTTTTTCAACTCTGGTTCTTCTTTTGATTGTGGATAGCAAAAAGACTTAATTGTATAATTCATTCTAATGATGGCTGATGTCTCAATTACGTACCACTCCTGTACAGTACCAACATAGTAAAAGACGTGAACATCTATTTATGAATGATTACAAAAGCTGAATTTAGTCATTCCTGAATTGTCATTTCTCCCATATTTTTCAAAACTTTTCTTCCCATTCTTTTTATGCACTAAAATGGGACCTTCAGTGGTAAGTCTGGTTCATGTGTAAAGTGGTGTAGCTTATACCCATTATACTCCTAGCTGATGTATCCACACAAACTATGCTGCTTATTAATTTGTTTTCATGTGAAATAAGTATTCAGTCTTAGGAAGAAATAAATAGAAAGTAAATACAGTGGGGTGTGCTATAATTAATCTAGTTGGTTCTAGAACCTTGTTCGTTATAGCATTCGTTCGTTATAGCATTCGTTCGTTCCAGGCCCCCAAATACAACCACTTAACACTGAAAAATATAATATAAAATTGTAAAAATTGTAAAAAAGTGCATAAATATGCATCTAAACCCCTGAAATAAAGAATATCATTAATATTTGTAATAAAAAACAATAAATTAGTAAAAAAAAAAAAAAAATTAAATAATGTTCGTTGTAGGAGTTTTGTTCGTTATAGCATTCTCAATTTTATAGGTAAAACCGTTCGTTATAGGAATATTCGTAGTAGGATCCGTTCGTTATAGCATACCCCACTGTATGACAATATGACAAGCTTATATTATGACAGAATATTGTTCTAATCATTTTGTTTTTGTTTCAGTTGATGATACAACGGGACTAATTGAGTGTGTCAGCTTTGCTGGTGAAGAGAATGGGAAAAAAGAGACAAGCAGTGATGAAAGTGCTGCGAGGAGCTTACATGAAATCCTGATAAAACCAAAACCTTCTTTAAAACTAGGAGATTTAGTGAATGTTCACGGACGTCTTAATTTTTTCAGAGAACAACCACAAATAATTGCTAATACCCTGCGTATCCTTTTATGATGTTATTACTATTATAAGTATTATTACAGCATTATTAATATTAGTAGTACAGGTACTGTAGTAATACAGGCATACCCTAATTAATGAAAGGGATTTGTACGTGAAAAATAATTATCAGTTTTCATAAATTAGATCACATTTTCTCTTAGACTCCCATCATAAAAGCTGAGGTACTTTCCTTTAAAAAAAAAAATCCTCATAGCATAATGAAATACAGTACTATAAAACATGCTTTTGATGCAAAATTTTGATGTACAATGAAAGACAAAAATTCGTGTTGTGAATTTGGTGAAAACATATGCTGAAGGGCTAAAACTTTTTGGTGCGCTCTGCCTTGTGGTAGGGTTCTCATAATGTTTCACGAGTTATATTTAATCTTCTTACAAAACCGCGACACGACTTTTGTCTTTGATTGTACACATTGATCTTAAGCCAATGATAAACATTAGTGAAATACAGTATACAGTACTCTATTGTACTATAATTGGGATAAGATATTTTTCCAATAAACATAGTGATAATCTTAACTTATTATGGCGTATGCTGACACTTGGTTACTAGTCCTTAACATTTTTTATAGGTATTGTTGCTGATTTCAGTGAAGAGAGGTTTCGAGCCTTCGAAATTAAGGCTGAGCAGTCATATTCAAAAGCTGAGTCATTAAATAGTTGTAAACCTAAAATCCAAAAAACAGGTGTCTAATAAATTTCAGATTATTGAAGCTTTTGTAATACTTGTGACCACTCAATTGTGAAAGTGGAAATTGTTAACATTTACATAAGTATGGAGTGTAAAAATACAGATAGTGTGGAAAGCATTCGTCAAAGGGTCAGGGACAGTGATCAAGCATTTAGACTGAAGAAAAGAAGTATGGCCCGTGATGTGCGCCGCTTGCATTTGGATATTGTAGTTAAAAAATTAAAGGTAGTGTGTTTGGTATCTAAGGTTCATGATTATATTAATTGAAAAATATTTCAATATATGTTATCACTGAAATACTGAACAGTAATCCTTTCACTAACCGCAGGGGTGTCTTTGTAGCATTCTCCTATGAATGGCAAAACCATCCTTGGCAAGAGCTGGGTGTAATGGGAAACAAGTGGTTATGAGTAGTAACTCCTGAGAGACATAGTTCAAGTTCTATAATGTAGAGCTCAAGATTAGAAATAAGTACAATGTATGTTATACTTAAAAGAACATTTCATATACAGTTCAGTACAGTACAGGTACTGCATAAGATACTATACTGTACTGTGCAGTACACTGTGCAGGTATTAAAAAAAAAAACAGTAAAAATTAGTGTTATGGAGTGGTGGCCATGGAAATCCACAGTTACTTAAAACTGTACAGATTCCCCTCTGAGCTGAATAAAACCGTCTGGCACTGGTCAAGTAAAATATTAAAAGTGGCATCCCCATAGTGAAGGAGTTAGTGGAGGTACTGTACTCTACTAACCCCCTTTGTACGGGTTTCCCTCCGCCTGAATAAAACTCTGGCACTAGCCCAGTACTGCATGATATTAAAAGTGGTGTCCCTGTATAATATTGAAGACTTTTTATTCTTATATACCTGCAGTGAAAAGTTTGAAAGAGGTTGGCATTCTTGTAAACCAGAATTTAAATCTTGTAGTTGTTAATAGGAATATTGGCAGTGCTGGATTAACCATGAGTCACTTGAGGCACTGGCCTTCGACTCTAAGGGGGCCCCCAAATCCAAACTTTCTCATAGTTGAAGCGTATAAAACATGAACTTCGTTCAACGATGTCCTAGCAACGTCTCAATTTTCTGTCTCTTGTGAACATTAAATGTGTTATTTTGCCGAAGCTTAATATTGATGAAATCATTGATAAATTTGGGTATATTTTGTTCTTGTTGTTTATATATACCTTGAGGGTAGGGGGCCCCAAGTTGATCTGTGCCTCAGGCCCCTATTAAGCTTAATACAGCCCTGAATATTGGGCATTTTCAGATAGCATTTTTTTTAGTCAATGCTGAACCCACAAACTTTACAACAATTTGTTAATGCACCAACAAATAATAGCGATTGTGAGGTGTTAGAAAATGTTTACAAATATTTGAGGAAGACAAAGACACAGTAAAGTTTAGTGAATATTTGATTATTATGGTTGATTTTAATGCAAAAATGAGGAAGAGTAAAGAAGCACCAGAAGTTGGACCACATAAGCTGGGTAGTAGAAATGAAAGAGGAAAAAGATTAATTGATTTCTGTAAGGAAAGCAAGACAATTACAAAACTAGAATACATACAGTGAATTACCTGAAGATCAAAATGCATTTAGAAGGGAAAAATAACTTGAGTAGCTATACAGTATTTGGTCTGAGAATTTTGAATGAAAGGGCTTCTTAGGTCCAAATAATTTTTTTTTATACAGTATGTTGTGGTGATTTTGAAAAAAAGCAGTTAAGGTAAGATACGGGTAACTTATGGATGTCTTACAACAGTATGTACAGGTATTAGTAAATAATGGACTTACTAGTTGGTTTAGGGTTAGACAGAGAGCTAGACAAGGATGTGTCTACCTCCAATATTGTATACAGCTCCTCCCTGACTTACGACAGAGTGAGGGACCCAAATCCAGGTCTTGAGTCGAAAGTCGTAATTCGAAAATGCTTAAATAATACATAGAAAATCTAAAATGGGTGTCTCTTTTTCTTCTCGGCACCACAAAACTCTCACTTTTAAGCTTGCCAGCTATTTTAAAGTGAATTACAAACAAAAATTTTGTCTGTACTGAAGTTGGGACTCGAAAAAGCGTAATTTAAAAAAATTTTGGTACGACTGAGGCAGGTCGTAAGTCGGGGAGGAGCTGTATATACAGTATTTATATTCAAAATTTTAATGATAAAAGTTATATGTACAGAAGTGGTTAAGGAATTAAAGTTCATAGCAAAATACAGTTCAGTACTGTACTGCAGTATGAATTAATTACTTTCCAGATATTATTGCTCTTAATACAGATAGTGAAGAGGCATTGCAAAGACTGGATAAGAGATTAGTGTTAGAAAAAAAAAGAATTTGAACTTAAGATTTAATAGTGTAGATACAAAAGTAATGGATGTTTCCAAAGTAGAAATCAATTTTGAAATATAAATTATGGTAAACAAAACAGTAGGTATTTAAACTGGTGGAAAATATTATGTACAATATTTGGGAAGAAAGATTAGTTATGATGGTAGTTGTAAAAAATAAAACAAGACTAGTTGTAGCAAAAACAGCAGTTAGTCTTAGAGATCTACTAAAAATGGAGATTAATTTCAATTAAGACAACCAATGCTGAAATGCAATAAGTGATCACTTTGGGTCAGAAATTCAGACACTTTCATCAGACATAAGGAGGTTGGAGGCCTTTGAATTGTAGTGTTACAGAAGAATGGTAAAAGTAAGTTATATTGATGAGAAAAGAAATGAAAAAGTACTAAGATTGGCAAAGCAACGAGAAATACTGTGCTGAAAATTTATGGATTAAGGAATACGAGACAATTTAGCCATATAATTAGGGAAGGATAGTGGTAGAAGTCTGAACAGGTAAAATTGAGGTTAGGAAGGCCAGTGGAAGACAAAAACTGTGATGGATGAATTTGATTAAACTGGTTCCTGGAGACACAAAATGTAAAAGGATTAGTAAACACAGTCCAAAAATGTTTAGTGAACGACCCTGGTTGTTAACTCATACTTATGGATAAATTTTATTGTTTGATTAATTGGTTCATTTCAGATTCCATCAAAAGAGGAAGTTGCACTGCTGTCTTTTCAATTAAAGAAGAACAAGAACTTGGAGACCCTACAGAGGATACGTCTTGGTCTGAGCAATAGTACGGAAAATGTTACTGTGTTCCTGAACTGTGACGGGGCTTTATACTCATTACTCGGTTGTTTAACAAGTAAGTATTTTAGTTATCTTATGGCATAGATAGTGAAGGGCTTTTTTAAAGAAATAGAAAGTGTTAGACAGAGGCAGTTTATAGTTCAAGCGGGGATAGGGGGAGTACAAAACCTCCAGGGGTTTGTATCTCTCAGGGGACACAACTTTTAATGAGTCCACTAGTATCCTAGTCTCAGTCTTTACAGTTATCCCCTCATCCCTAATAGTAACCAAATTAAAGTCCAGTATTATACGGTACGTATCTCATTTTTTTATTTTATAAATATCTTTTTTTCTCTTTTGTCTTTTACCTTTGCCTCAAAGAGGATCTTAATACCTTTCATTTTTTATAGTGTTACCCTAGTGATATTTTTTATTCTTTTTTTATCTTTTCTGCACATTTCCTTGCAAATTGTTTTCTTGGCATCATATTCTATCTCTGCATTTATTTTTTAGAAATCTTCTTGAAATCATACTCTCTACACTCCTTTCCAGTTTATTTGCGCACTTTTTTATCAGCCTTATTTCCTGTGGCCATCTTTCTTTTTCTTTCCTTTTTTTGACATTTCATAATTATGTGATTTAGTTTTAGCCTGGTTATTCTCACATCCTTTACTATGCCTGTTTCCCCAGTGTTGTTATTCCTCTTTAAGTCCTTTTTATAAGTGTGCCAAGGAAGAGTTTAAAGTTTCCAAAAAAGTTTCCCCAACTAAAAGGTTTTTTCATTCTTTTATTAACTTTGCTTCCTCTGTAGTTGGGTTACTCCTCAGGTGGATATCTGTAGTACTGTACCTTCTTGCACACTTCTAGCTGATATTTAGTAATGTGTACTACCTGGGGAAGATAATTAAGGTAGAATTGGAGTATTGATCCTGAAATGCTATTTTCTAACTAAGCCAAGCATCTCAGATTCACACTTCTTTGGGTTTGTTGTTCTTCAGCTGGAAAACTGAAGTAAGAAGGCAGATTGGTCTTAAAATCAAAGATGGCTGCCCATAGATGCAACTTGAAGTAGTTTCTGACAAGATTGCTTGTCTCTAATTAGTAACTACAGTATATACAGTACACTGCCAAAGGACAACCCTTGCTACAAATCATCTCCTTTGAGGATTGTAAGATTGGCCCTCTGCTGTCAAGTGAGTTGGTGCAAAGTTAAGGCTAAGCCCATACAATTGGCTAACAATGTTATGAAAGCTGACTGGCTGTTGTCTTACCTAGAAAGTAGGAATTCTGGAACAGTCCTTCAGTTTTACCATACTGCTCTTTACTATATGAATACATTAGTTTTCACTTTCCCCCAAAATATAAATTTACATAAAAAAATATGCCTGACCTTAATACCATAGTTTTTGGCACTTAGGGCCAAAAAAAATAGATTTTGTTTAAATGTCATACAAAGGTGCTACTTTATATCCTGATTAAGGATCTGGGTTCACAATTAAAAAATTCAAGTAATTAGTCTCGTAAGTTTTAAATCACAATATAGACTATCAAGTGTTTACTGGTCTGGAAAACCTGGAAAAGGCAGGGGATTTTATTTGGGGCTGGAAAACCTGGAAAAGAGGGAATTTTACAAATAAACCTGGAATTTTATGTGAAATCAGTTTGACTTGAAAATACAGGTACGGTATTGTTATTTTGACAGCAATCTTACCATAAATTAATGCTGTACTGTATAATAGGTATATAATTAAACTTATAGGAACAAATTCCAGTTAATAGTCCACTCCAATAATTGAATTGTTTGTGTACCTGTCATATTTCATATTAGTGATCAAATAACTAAATATTACAGGTTATATCTACTCATTCTTCAATGAGTATTGTCAGAGATGAATTTTTTATATAATTAAATGGCTTTATTTCTGTGGATTATTCCACATACTAATCATGAGTTATATAGGTGGATCAGGAGTGTGATTTTTCATTTTTTGCTTGATTATCCGCTTTTTTGGAATGTCCAGGTCGACCCACGTGAATCGCACAAATCCGAGGAGAAAAATATGGAGGGGGATGTCAAGGTCTTTGCCGATGTTCATCACTAGGTTTGGGGTGGGTCGCAAAAGGGTCTTTAATTTCTTGATTAATATCATTTATATCATATTTAAATTTCCAAATAATTTATACATATTATTGAAAACCTCTATTTTTTTTTCTTTCATAATAAATACCAAATTATTGTACCTGGAATTTTTCAAATTTACTCCTGGAAAACCTGGAAAAGCCAGGGAATTTTGTTTTGGCTGGCCAGTAGGCACCTTGATACAGTATTTGAATTTCTTTCAACATGTTCACTCTGTGTTTTCTCCATTATAGTTCCCTATTAAGTTCTTGTCATTCTCTTCAGGTCATGATGCAAGCCTGCAGAGAGAGGCTGCTTGTACTCTTGTCAATTTAGCCTTGGGAACAGAGAAGCAGTGTCTGGAAGTGTGCCAGAAAGCAGGAGTATACCTTGTTATGTATATGTCTAACACGAACCCTGACCTTCAGGTGAGAAAAACTTTCAAACAGTAGCTTGGCAACATCTTGTATTTATGACTTACAGGTTATCAGCAAGTAACCTGTAAGATCCTCACCAATAAAACACCATCTGGCTGAACCTGCAGTTGTTGGAGGGCTTGATTTGTTAGTGATAGGGCACACTACAGTATCTATGCATAATAAAACTTCACACCCAGTCAAATCAGACCCAAATATTCAATACTATTTGATCAAAAGGTTATCCCAAGGGCCAATGAAACTCAGTTTACTGGTCATGTAAGTGCTATTTTAAACCTCTTAGTCATGAAAGGAAGTTTAAATGTTTTCCCACAAAACCAAACTGAAGAGGTTTGCTCTTGTCTTAGGAATTGCTGCTGCGAAGGGTTTCACTTGAACTGTGTCCAAGCTGATTACTATTTATTTTCTTGGTTTATTCCTGAAAAAATGCCATGCTGAAAAAACACTTTCTGAAAAAAAAACCCGTTAATACATGCAGTAAGAGGGAAGCATTCCTGGCTGATAGGTAAACAAATCCAGTCCTTTGTGCATGCTTGACCATGTACTAAGGCAAACAATAATTTAGTATGCTGGAATTTTTATTTACTTTAACAGTACAGTGGTCCCTCGGTTAACGAATGGTTCGATTAGCAAAATTTTGGTTAACGAATTACCTCCCATAAGGATCTTCAATTCGGTTAACGAACAAAACTTCGATTAACGAAATCCTTACGAAAAACACGTTTTGTTGTGAGCATCAGCTGAGCAGCTGATGGGCTAGTCTGCCAATTCAGTAATCTATTCTATGTTTACATTTGTTTCCAGTGGAGTAAATATCAAGAAAGTTGTGCTCTTTAATATTTTTGCATTTTTTATATTAAAATTATTAGTCATTTTAAAATATATGCACAGGGAACTAGTTTTTTGTGCGCCTATCAGCCGCTTGACTCACCCACCAGGCGTCAGTTTGGCATTGTTGATAGTGGAGTGAACATCGATTTTGTTGGTGTCTTGAATATTTTTGCATTTTCACATTAAAATTATTGGTCATTCTGAAATTTAGTAAACATATTGATAATATATAGCACAGTGCAGTGTTGATTTAAATAAAATAATCTTGAATTACACCTAGTGAACTTAAAATTTTATTGGTGAAATTCCTGCATCAAGCATGGGTCCCCTGAAAGGTGATTTCTCCTCCATCCCCACTTCCTTCTCTTCTCCCTTATCCTCCACCCCTACTTCTAATTCCTATCATCATCATCATCAACCAGGAACCTTCTACATACACACTTCAAAGTAAGTGTACTTTACTGCATTTTTTTTTTTTTACCTTTTATGTACTTTTCTGGGAGCTGGAAACAATTACCCAATATCCCATTGAAACAATGGATTCGATTAACGAACGACTCTGTGGAACGAATTGTGTTCGTTAACTGAGGGACCACTGTATATATATCATTAATCGAGGGACCACTGTAATTTGTATTGTTATCTTGTCTTTCAATACTGTACTGTAGAAAACAGGGAATTGGTTAGTTTTACATTTTTGGGCTGGCTATTCCCTAACTCCCTTATTAATCCAAAACTGCAAAGCTTTAACTCCTACGCCCTGAGTTAGGGTGGCGCCGGCCTTACCCCCCACGCGGGGTAAACCAGGGAAAAAAAAATTTCCAAAAATATATTTTAATCTTTATAAATAATATAACAATGAAAAATACATAAGAAAAACTATATATTGTCCCTCAGTGACGAGTGAAATAAGGAGAAAGGTGTTTTATTTACAGCGAGCCGCTCTCTGTTACTATGCATTAGGGGTAATTTTCCCATCTCCTTTGTGTCTGAGATGGCCAAAAATACATATTTTTAATGATAAAAATACTCATTTCCTATAAATAATTTATTTAGAATTTATTTTCTTTGCATTACTTTTCATAAAGACTGTTCGGCGACACAAACGCAGTCTGTCACTCTGCTGTCTGGTTGTCTTTGTGTTTGGGAGAGCAAGTAAGTCATAATTATCAGAATAATAATTCCACAAATAACTACATTCATAACATAATCATACTATTATCATCTAGTAATACTAAACTACAATACAACTACACTACTTTTAGTAATATTAGTCTGATACAACATGATAAAAAGGAAAACAGTGTAAAATAAACAAACAAATGTAGGTGGTGATGGAGGTAGTGGTGCTTCCCTGATGCCTCGCTCGCTGTCTGCCAGCACTCGTGGGTAGTGATGAGTGAATGCATACAAGTGTGTATCTTTTCCACAAATATGTAAGTTTGTTCCTGACAAATACACTTATACTACTATTTACACTACTTACAAGCACGTGCCACATCGTTTTAGAATGTTTTCTTAGAGTGGTACTCCACGAAGCAGGGTCTGCAGAGACCAACATCACATTCCTTACACCAAGTAGTCACGTCCTTACGCTTAGCTGCGCGCTTTGTGGTGTTAGCACAGACATAAAATCCCTTTGCTCCCTACAAACACCTGGACCAGTCAGTAAGTTGTCCAGGTTGTGACAAATAACCCAGTCACGTGCAAGCAGTCTGTCAGGTAGGCCTACTTGGCTGTGATACAGCTGCTACAATGTTGCTATACTTCTATAGGAGTTGTGTTATTACTTGTTTCTGAAAAACCCTGAGAGAAGGTTTTTTCCTGGTTTTTACGAGGTACAGGTTGTATGCATTCAGGATGGTGATGTCCATGAGATGTAGGAACATCTTCTTGTACCACTTGAGACATTTCCTTACACACTCAATTGCGCCAACCTGTGTGTCACTCTTGTCCACAAGGCGCATGTTGACATTGTGGTCCACGACAGCGTCAGGTTTTTTCATGACCTCTCCTGAGGTCCAGTCCCTTTTTCCGCTGTTAACCATTTCACCCTTGTGAACGGTTGACAGCATCTGCACAGTACGCTTATCTTGCCAGCATATTGCAAGCATTTTGTCTGCTTGCTTCAGCTGGACCTCTCCTCGGGCAGGTTTACCAGTAAACACGGGCCAGTGTTTCCGGTTCTTTCATACAGTTTCACAAGAACCGATGTCATGTTCAAGTAGGAACTTGACCAGGGCAGGAGAGGTATAATAATTATCAGTGTAGAGGACGTGATCCCCTCCAAAGTAGCGGTCCATAAGTTTCTTGACAACAGCACCAGAGAAACCATGTGGGTCGTCCTTGGGTATGTCTACATCACTTGCTGTGTAAACAATGAGATCTAAGACATACCCAGTATCGCAGTCACACAGTACAAAGAACTTGATCCCAAAGCGATGTCATTCGGAGGGAATGTATTGTCTAAAAAAACACGTCCTCTGAAAAGCACCAGAGACTCGTCCACCACTACGTTTGAAAGGGTCAGAAGAACTTCGTAAAGCGTTCCTTCAGTATCATAAAAAGTTCCCTTATTTTCCAAAGTCTGTCACCAGTCACAGGAATGTTGTTATCTACAAAGTGTAGATAACGTAGGATGGAGGCAAACCTGTCTCTGAACATGAATTTTGCAAACAGTGGAGTTGCTGTGATGTCATCAGGAGATATCCAATACTCCTGAAGTACATGTTTTTCAACATGTGCCATCAGCATCAGTAATGCAAAAAAAAAAACAGATACAGTTCGGCAACACTTACATCACTCCATCGATGCATTTGTGGCGAGGGGCCACGGCCAAGGTCAGCGTCACACGTGTACTGATAAAATTTATTTGTCTCGGTACACAGTAAGTCCATGATTGCACCATCAAAGAATGCATAAAAATAATCTATCTCATGTGATTCCTCTGTACAAGGAAATTCAGGAGTAATTCCACCTGATGATCGTCTGAGTTCAGGGATATCAGGCTGGAAATTACTGCCATCAGACCAAATAAAAGCAGCCATTGTCCCTTGTCTGGCTCGCGAGAGTGTGGCGAGGATACGCCGTTCTGGCTGGGCCTCCCTGCCCACGTCCTCCTCTTCCTCACTTGTTGAGGCAACATCGTCGAACTCGACGCTAACCTCTTGATCACTAGGCTGATATATAATCACTGCCTTCATCACCACTTTCACCATATTCGACAACTACAGCACCCTAATCAAAGAGTTCTGTCCTGATCTCACTATCTTCCAACCCACGGCAATGACGCTTGATTGGGGTGGAAGATACCGGGGGGGTGGGGGGGGGACGGATGGACAGAGACGTTGAGGGGTTACCCTCCATGACCACGGGAGAATGGTTACTGACCGCGCTGGGTCCTACCCACGCTCCCCTCCATGTGTCTGGAGAGAAAAATAGTCATGCTAGTACCTGTTAACCCTAGTCGGGCATTCAAACAGCAGCGGGAAAAGGAACGCGTTCTGGAACGTCACCCAGGGCTCGCTGGTCAACCGTTCTGGAACGTCGCCCGGGGCGTAGCAGTTAAAAGATTTGGGATTTGGCCTGAGGCTACTGACTGATTATATCAGTTTTATTGGGAGAGTTATCTCTGATGAAATTTCAGGTATATTCTATAAAGGTACCGGGTAGTTAACAATATGTATCCATCCTTAGGTGTTATTAGATATATGTATATTAAAAAGAAGACATGATTTTTGCATGTTCTATTGTGATTGACATAAATATTCTGGAACCAAGGCAGGGGTTTTGACAGCTGACTTTCAGAGAATTGGGTTGTTTAATGAGACAAGTAGGCCATTTGCAATTGGCAAAATGTCCTATTTTCCATTAATCTTAGTTGATTTCTCCCCCATTTTTTTTCCAAAATGGGGTTTGCTCCAAAGAACATTATCTGAGGTAATGTATTCCTGGGGTGAGTTAAAGGGATGATCATTCCCCATCTGCTGTAGCTACCTGTTCCCAATGCACCATAATGAGTTTTTAGATAACTGACCATATATAGTTAAATTACCGGTAATCATTTCCTAAAGAAGACTGTATATTGTGTACAGTTGAATCATAACTTATGGTGTACTTTGTGTACTACACAAGTAAGTTGAGGATAGGAAGTGTGTGTGTGTGGAATATTTCTATTCAGTGCTTTAATCCTTTCCTTTGGTATTCTACACTTGTCTTCCACCATTTGCTTGTACCATTTTTCCCTTTCTTGAAGTTTTTGTTCCCTTTGTTGCTCCCAACACCAAATTGAGGGAGAGGTAATGAAAGTAGATGAATAATTGGGTGGATAAAAAACAAAGACAACTTTCAACATACAGTATCAGTAACATTTCATTTGTGTACATGTCCAATGAACTAAGCACGTAATGCGTGCTTATAGATTGATACAATGTGTTGATAGATGCATTTATTTCAGGATCCATGTGCATGGTGTATTGGTAATCTGTGTGGGACACATGTGAGTGTTTGTAATTTGTTGAGGTCACAGGGAGTAGAAGTCTGTTTGGTAAATCTTCTCCAGTCTCACTCACCACATGTGTTGCAGTCTGCAGCATATGCCCTCGTGCACTACCTCACAACTCTTCCTGAAAGAATCAGGTAAGTTTATTATATAGCCAAGATTTATATGCTATGAGTCTCCACCATCCTAGGAGGGAGATTTAGGAATGCACTCATTCTGTCCTTGTATATATGTGTGTGCATCCCTCAATCTGTTCTCATGTATATGAAAGATTTACATGGTAACTCAGACAAATAAGAATGGACTGTAGCCGAACTTAGCTTATACATATCAGGAGCGGATCCAGTAATATAAAAAAGGGGGTCCAAGAAGCTGTTGGTGGGGGAACGTGGCGAGCATAGCGAGCCCACCCAGCTGGATTTTTTGGGGGGGGGGGCAATAAGCCCCCCCCCCAGAATTTTTTTTAAATTTGATCAATATCATGGACATTTTGAGGCCATTTTGAAGCCATGTGCACATGACATTGGGAGATATTCTGAGGCCAATAGTAACTACATATTACTATACAAAAATGCCTGAGTACAATACTGCATTAAAGAAAAGGTAATGGGATTTTCTGATGAAAAGGGAGGGTCTGGACTCCCAGGACCTCCCCTGGATCTGCCCTTGAATATATGTTTACAATAAGATCTCAGATGAATTCCATGTCTTAAAATTTTCTGTCTCTAAAGATTTGGCCTCAAACATTAACATGGCATGGTGGGAGATTTGCCCACCACTAGTGGCAACCTTTTTATTTCATCACATCAGCCTCCCCACCTGAAATTATATAACAGTACAGTACAGTACTGTTATACATTTGCCAATGTGTTTCTCCATCTACTTTTAATGGCACATGCAGTACAGTAATAGTTTTATACCTGTACAAGGTCCTCATTATATGTTGGGGATGTGTTCCAGAGAAATGCAAATTATATTGAAACATTTTAAAATTAAGAATTTTCCCCCATATGAATTAATAAGGGTATAATGTAATTAGGGGTACAGTGATCCCTCGGTTAACGAACGCCTCGGTTAACGAAATTTCGGTTAACGAATTACCTTCCATAAGAATCTTCAATTCGGTTAACGAACAAAAATTTGGTTAACGAAATTTTTATGAAATCATGTCAACAAGTTTTCGCTTGCTCACCAGCTGGAATATTAGTCCGCCAATACAGTAATCGGTTCTAAGGCTTAAATTCGTTCCCATTTGAGTAAATATCAAGAAGGTTGTACTATTCAATAATTTTCCAAGTTTTATATTGAAATTTTTAGTCATTTTAACACTTATTTAACATAATTGCAGTACAGGAAACTAGTTTTTGGTTCGCCAATCAGCTACTTGACTCACCCAGGAAGGCGTCAGTTTGTGTCTCTGGTCAGTGGAGATAACATCTTGTTTGTGGCTCTCTTGAACATAAACTATTTTTACGTTTTTACAGTACAATTATTGGTCATTCTCAAATTTATTTTACATATTGAAATATATAGTGCAGTGCAGTGTTGATTTAAAGAAAATAATCTTGAATTACACCTAGTGAACTTAAAATTTTATGGGTGAAATGATGGCATGAAGCATGGGGTGATTTCTCTTCCACCCCCACTTCTTTCTCTTCTCCCTTCTCCTCCACCCCCACTTCTAATTCCCATCATCATCAACCAGGAGCCTTCTACATACACACCTCAAAGTAAGTGTACTTTACTGCATTTATTTTTACTTTGTATGTAATTTTCGGTGAGCTGGAACCAATTACCAAAAATCCCATTGAAACAATGGTTTCGGTTAACGAACGACCTTCTGGAATAAATTGTGTTCGTTAACCGAGGGACCACTGTATATACATCCCAACATGTACAGTAATACTCCTTGGAAGCTCAGCAAATCAGCTTACAATGGGGCCATTACCTGTATAACATACAGTACTGTACTGTATAGTACAGTACAGTATTTGGTAAAATTTTGAAATATGATACATTGCAAAATATAGCGATACAGTGGTCCCTCGGTTAACAAGCACAATCCGTTCTAGAAGGTTGCTCGTTAACCGAAACCATTGTTTCAATGGGTTTTTGGGTAATTGGTTCCAGCTCACCGAAAATTGCCTAAAGTCAACAAAAAAGGTAGAAAAGTACACTTACTTTGAGGTGTGTATGTAGAAGGCTCCTGGATGATGATGATGATGATGATGGGAATTAGAATGGGGGTGGAGGAGAAGGGAGAAGAGAAGGCATTGGGGAGGAAGAGAAGTCACCCCATGGCGCCATTTCACCCATAAAATTTTAGTTCTCTTGGTGTAATTCAAGATTATTTTCTTTAAATCAACACTGCACTGCATTATATATTGTCAATATGTAAAATAAATTTCAAAATGACCAATAATTTGCTTGTAAACACAGAAAAAAAGCATTTAGTTGAAGAGAGTCTCAAGCAAGATGTTACCTCCACTGAAAAGGCACAAAAACTGACGCCTGTATGGTGTGTTGAGAGGCTGGATGGTGCGCATAAAACTAGTTTCATTACCTTCAATTATGTTCAATAATTGTAAAAATGACTAAAAAATTTAATATATAATTTTAAAATTATTGAATAGTATAAACTTCTTGATATTTGCTAAAATGGTAAGGAATTTAAGCCCTAGAACCGATTACTGTATTGGCGGACTAATACTACAGCTGGTGGACTGCCAAATGCAAGCGAAAACATGTTCAGGCCGGCTCGTAAGAAACTCGTTAATCGAGGGATTGCTCGTTAACTGAAGTTAAGAATCTTATGGAAGGTAACTCGTTAACCGAAATCTCGTTAACCGAGGCGCTCGTTAACCGAGGGACCACTGTATACGGTACATATTAAAATTTTCATAATACAGGGTATTTGGACAATTTCAAACTATAAGAGACATTTATGAATATGTATGACGCACATGTTGCCATGGGATGCATCCGCCCGCCTCAGTGTAGACAAGTACAGTAGAACGTCGATTTAAAGAGATTCAATTTAAGATTATTAATTTAAAGGGACACCCACAATTAAGGACAATGTTTTAATTTAAAGCGAATCTTTCCTATTTTGCTCGAGTTAATCTGCCGCATCATATTTTAAAATTCGCGCCTAATGGTCCTCTGGGCACGCTACACTGTCCTAAGGGCAAAGCTGTACTGTACATATACTCAAAATAATGTACTAAATGATTACTAAAATTTTTATCAAGTGCAAACTATAGCATGATTATATTCAAATTAATCACTATCTTATAAGACTTCCAGCAATGTAAATTATATTCTCCCCTGTTACTTCTGTGACATTTTATAAACAAAACCAAAAACGTAAGCTAAAGGACATAAATAAACAAATAAATACTTCACTAGACCTTCGGCCCCAACTGTCAAACATGTCACCTCCCCTTCCTCCCTCCTCCCATTTTCCCATCCAGGGTTTGGTGGTTTTAGGCTTTTAAGTTTTTATCTTATATAATATGACAGACTAAAGTTAGGAGAATATACTGTAATTTGCATTGCTAGAATCCTTGCAAGACGGCGAATAATTTAAATATAAACGTAATATATTTTGCACAAGGGATAAAAATTTTAACCCTTTGTAATAAAATTAATTAGAACATGTCAGTTCAGTGACATTTTATAAGAGAAAACTTAAAGTCACTCTTAAGGACAGATAAATAAATAAGCACTAGACCTTGGCATCAACTGTCAAACATATCACCTCACCTCCCCCCCCCCCATCTTCCTAGCCAGTAAACAGACCATTTTGCATCCCTTAATTTTTGCTGTGTTGATTTATGAGTGTTTTTTTAAGATAATAATACAAAAAACAATATTTTGTTTATTCTAGGAGATGAGCTGAGGTGCACCTGGGTAGACTCTCAGTCTTTTTAGTATTTTGTGTTTCTCTCAAGTACCAAATTAAATTATTCCATTGAAACAACATTTCGATTTAGTGCGAATTCTGTTTAAAGCGACCTCTCTTGGAACATATCTCTTGTTATATTGACATTCTACTGTATATGTGTGTCAGACCTGTTGGACAGTAGGTCAGGGTCAGTTCACGGTAATCAGTCGTGGAGTGCACGTGTCTGGTCTACCTCATAAACTTCTTCATTGCCCAGTCTTTGAGCCATTGTCTCATAACCCTAAATCTGGTACTGAAACATTTAAATTTTCATTGGGGCAGATAACTGAAAAATAGTTGTTTTGTTTATTTTTCATTCGGGAGGTGTCCCTCATATTTCGTAAAATCTCATAATTCGTAAGTGGTAGAGCCACTACAGTATTATTATTTTTTTTCTTTTTTCTTTTTTACTGTACAGTATATGCAAATCAGTAGAAGCTTGTATATATATGGGGCAACCTGTAGTAGGTCTCAATTTTATTAATCTTTTAACTGTAATTTGAAACCAGAGATCTGTGTGAACCAAGTATGGTGCGAAGACTCATCAGTGCCCTAAGTCAAGAATGTGCTGTAGTAGAGATTGGATGGTGCCTCTTTGTGCTGTCAGCTAACCAAGAGTTATGTGGATTCTTGGTTGACCAAGGCATTATAGAAGCAGCCTTTACTGTTATGGAGCAGCTGATCAATGAACAGGTAAGTTTTTCATTTAATCCCTCAGGTACTTTGGTTTTATAATTACAGTACAAAGTTGATATAATTTGCAAAAACTCTTACTATATTGATACACTGAGTGTTGTATTTATTTACCCAAAATGTGGCAGTGAAAGGCGTGTTGGATCAGGGTTTGCTAAGGTGGTTAAGACATCTTGTAAATGGAGACTAAAAAATTTTTACACTGTATAAAAGTGATTGAATTTGGAAGTACAGTAGATAGGAGAGTAGATGGGTTGAGGGAGGTGTTGGGTGGGAAGAGATTGGACTTTCAGGAAGCAGCAATGAGCATACATTATTAGGGGACATGATGATGAATGGTTTTCAGCGATGGACGTGCTGCTGTTGGATGGTGCAAGAATGTATGAAGCAACAAGGATAAACCAATGGAAAACTTTAGGACAGAATTGTTGAGGGGCACACTTTTGTTTTCTTTTAATCCATTGTAACCGACACTTTTCAGCTGTACATTTAAGAATGTTAGTCTTTAGCTGTGCATGTTCATCTTCCACCTCTCCAAATGTCTTATTATTACAGTAATGTGTTAATATCTTGCAACATGCTCTTGGATTAATAGGTAGCTTAGTACTTACTAGGAAGTTGTGCATATTTTTGTAACTTTTTGTGATGGGTTGTGATTTACAATACACTGTATTTTATTTTATTTTTTATTTTTATTAGAATATGAATGTCTTTGCTGTGACACCAATTGTACGTGTTGTTATGAACTGTGTTGGAGCTGTACCAGGAACTGCTGTACAGGTAAGGATCATACTTACAGTATATGGTTGTGTTTGTTTGATGTACTACTTCAGTGCTGAACATTAAACATTACCATGTAATTGGGCTCTTTTTTATACATCTGAGGTGTATGTCAGCTGAATGGATACTGTACACGGCTTGCCTTCCATCCCAATGATCACTGGTTTGTACCTGGGGCATCATCAGTCCACCCAGCTGTGAATGGGTACCTTACTTAATAGAGTATGGAAGGTGAAAGAGGTTGAGTGGAGTGCAAGCCACACTGCCTCCTTCCTTGTGTACTGAAGAAAAAGCATCATTCACAGTGTATACTGTACAGTATCTGCATTGGCTCCAGTGGCTGTCAGGCCTATTAGAATCACATTCACTTTCACATACATTATGAAAGTTTTTTTGGGGGGGGGACATGTCTCTTGAACGACACTTTCTTTCACACAGTACATGTGATAAGGCACATTGTACTTTTATATGTGTAAACAGTCGAACTAATAATTACTTTGGAAATATACTAAAATTTATGGTTAGGGATAGCTTACTACAGTATATGATTGAATTGAAGATTTTACAGGAAGATAGTGATCCTTTAATTCAGGTATGGGCAACCTTTCCTCAGTCATGGGCCACATTACTATTTGGGTATTTTTGTGAGGGCCTACCCACCAAAATTTGTATCCTATCCAACCCCAAAAGTAATGTTAATACAGGGGGCCCCCAAATTTGCGGGGGTTAGGTTCTCAAGATGGCCGCAAATCGCCAAATCCGCGAATAACATTTGTGGATGGGGGGTGGGTTGCTTTTTTTAATTGTGTACAAAGAATTGTATATTTCCTTTATGTGTTTGCCCTTAGGACAATTATTTCTTTTACCTGTAGTATTGTATATGTGTGTGTGTGTGTGTGTGTGTGTGTGTGTAGAAACACACACAAAACACATACAAATAAATAGTAATTAGAAAATCCTTTCATTAATCATCAGAAACAAATTTATTAAAAATGTGACAGTCTACCCTCAAATCTGTGCTCTATTACTTTATTAATAGAGCACAGACTTGAGGGTAGACTGTCACATTTTTAATAAAGTTTCTGATTATTTGTGAGAGGATTTTCCAATTATTATTTATTTGTATGTGTTTTGTGTGTGTGTCTCTACACACATATTTACAATACAGGTAAAGGAAATTACTGTCTCTAGAATGAATGGCTCCCAGTCCCAGCCGCAAAAATGCCGGCAACTTTAAAACTACCCACAGACATTCTTGGGTACATCCAGGGTGTCATCTGCGAATAACCGAGAACCGCGAAGTAAAAATCCGCGAACTTGGGGGCATACTGTATTAGTACAGACAGTGAAGCAGTTTATCGTCACGTCCACCTTATGATATTTTCAGTTAACAATCAGCCTTTTTCCCATTTACTAAACAAATCCATCATAATAATTTTTTAAGTAATACGTATGTTAATGTTTCTTGGCATTTAACAGATGGTTGAAGCAGTCTGTAAATACATTGATTTTTCCTACAGTTGCAGCATTTTTCTTACTTACAAGACACACCCACCAGAATAATGCCAATGCTAATCTTGGCATATGAGGAACAACAATGAAACAACCTAAAGGCACATCTCTCTCTCTCTTTATATATATTGGCGGTTTTGACCCAAAATTAGATTTTATTTAAAATCTCAGTATAAGTACTCCTGAGCATGCTGATTCCAAATCTATGGTCCACGATTTGATTGCAGGGTAATTAGTGGCTGTAATGGTGCAAGGAAAATTTTAATTACATTATTTCAATGCTAATTACTCACCAACTGTGGGTTTCTGAGGAACGATTTTGGTGTTTTTGTGTTATTCTGGAATTACTTAATTAGTTGAACCCTGTGTGACCACTGCCCGTGACCCCACTTGGACATTTCCAACCTTAGTTAATTCCCAAGTGACCCACTGCCACATAGCAGCTAATCCATCAAACAGACCACACCAAACTTGGCACGTAAACTCACACAAGTTAAAATGTTTATATTGTTGACAATATATATACTTATTTCACTGTTAGATTTTTGTAGTTACTTACTCTTAGGTGATGAAATAATAAAGAATTGTGTATGAAGATTATTCTTTTAATAACTATTGCTTTACTCATCATAAACTGGGTGCATCTACCTGAACTGTGGGCCACATTAAATAGAATTTCTCAATCACTCCACTGGCCGCACAAACACATGGTCCGGGTCGCGGGTTGCCCATGCCTGTTTTAATTAAATTATAGATTAAACTGAGTTTGAATTCTATTCCTATATACTATATCGCACTGTACTGGACTGTACTTTATTTATGATTTATGGAACACTTTCAGGTTTGTTACCGGAGTGAACAATTTGTAAGAGTTACAAAGGCTTTACTGTATTCGTCCTACCCTCATTTGCGCAATGAAACTATCCATCTTATAGCCAATGTTGTGAATGCAGCGACTGAAGAATCATTAACAGGTAAAAAAAAAGAAATTGTAACCATATGCATTTATTTAATTTTACTTGTGTTTTTATATACAGTACTGTATATTGTATATTGGTTTTGCCCACCCAAGTCAGCAAGTCATTGGAGTTGAAACCCAGTTTACTGTACAGGAGTTGAAACCCAGTTTCCAAGGAATCAAAACTTGTGAATGGAATCTAAAAATAAAATGGATGTGAAAATAAGGTAATCTTCCATTCCATACCAGATTCCTTGAAAGGAGGTACTTGGTATGGCAATTTCCCTCATAAGATTTCCACCATAACATAAGAGTGAGAAGATAAGGAGTCTCCACCACTTTGTAAACATGTGCACTCCTCAATCCTGTTTTGTTTCAATTCAGCACATGGATTTGGATGATGAGTCTTTTTCTTGGAATTTTTCGCTTGGGATTAAACCTTGCATGTAATTTATTGACTATGGCAGACAATTCCACACTTCTGATGTTTGATGAACAGGAGCTAATACAGTTGATGTTTTACTAGGTTGAAATTTTTGGGAGAAAATTTATCTGCTTCCTCCAATTTCTAAGCTTATAGAGATCTCAGAGAAGCTTCAAGCTTATCTTTGAATTTCTGTATTGATAGCTTCCTTTTGTCTTGGTCGCCATTCATTCCCTATTTTCCAGTTTTGTCACAAAAGCTAAGTAAGGAGAGTGGTCTATCAGAGCCCATAGTTTTACATGCTATATATTTCAATTTTTTCAGGATATTTATCTTCAGAAATGTTGTACATTGCCTTGCCTGAACACAGTTAAAAGCTTATTGAGGCCATGGTTTCCAAATGATTTACTTGTTTGGGAATCCATGATAGTACCAGATCAGTTAAATAAAAGGTAATTTTACCTGTAATGACTAAGGGTGGTTTGGTTGAACCCCCCTTTTCTCTTAAGACTCACCTGACATGAGCCACGTTAGAATAAAACACTTCAGGTCATGTGTCAACTCGTGCCAAGACCAACTCCTCACCCCTTACCAACTAGTACACATTCCTGGCCAGTGGTATCTATAATAAGAAAGGGATGTGTTTGTCTGAGTGTGCTTGTCTGTCTGCTCTGTCCATAGCTTCGAAATGGAAGCAGTTATAAACCAGAAACTTTACACACATATTACACGGGTCCCAAGGTTGTGCATATCCCTTGGGCTTTGACTTGTCTTAAAACTAATACCGGGTATGTTTTCAATAAGTGAGGAGGACAGAGCTAGCTCCCTTGCATGTTTGTCATTGATTGGTTAGACACCAATTCTTAAGTACACTCCCCACAAGGCACCTATCAATCAGGGAGGTACTACAACCTGGGAAGATAATGGAAGCATAATGTATTGTTTAATGGTAGGCTCTGCTGCCATATGGCATCACAAAAATTGTGACCAGGTTCCAGGTTGCTGATCTGACTTTCTGCCTCATTTACACACAATTGCAGGGTCTCATTTGTTTCTCTTACTTTGACAACACAACATACATACAGTAATAACATATGTTATTTCTCACTATTAATCTTTTTTCATTTTTATTTATTTATTTATGGTCCTTTATTATTATTATATATTTTATTTAATATTTTTTACTAATTTTTGTATTAATTATTATTATTATTATTTGCCCCCAGGCTCTGATGTGGGTCATTGACCTGTGCCCTGGTGGGCTAATCCCATAAAAATAAAAAGGCAGACTGTAAGGAGGGTGAATGGTTAGGTACCATAATAATATTTATAGATCATCCCTGACAGAGCCATGGGGCTGAGTCAAAGAACTCAGGGACTTCAGTAAATTAACCCAAATTTTAAAGTGCTGCCAAGGTATGGACTCAATCTCATACAGACTTATATTTCTTGCATATTGCATTTGTATTCACCAGAAGAGAGGCATCTGTCTAAGCATTGAAATTTTGTACTAAGTTTTAGTCATGTTATTTGCATCTGGTTTCTCTGAATTTAGAATAATTTTGCAGTTATTGTTTAACAAATGCTAACATCTCATTTGTTCAACTCATATCATTGACACATCAGAGCAGGCGAAAGATCTCATACCATGAAAGCCGTGTTTGATATTTTTAAACGTAATAAATAATCTTTGCCGAGTAAGACAATTTATATTGGTTGTCTTCTCTTTTGCCCTTAGTTCCTTGTTAAATTGTTTTCACCTGACCTGTGACACAGAGTGATGAGTTATTTTCCTGTGTACTATACAGTATAGCTGTGTTGTTATAATGGATGTATATGCCTTTAAATGTAACTGAATTTTTCCTCCTGATATACTTTTCTTTCTGGGCAGGTCAGTGTATTGTTGATGACCTAAGTCTGAGACCAAGACTGGAGAGTGCTGTTCGTAGTGCCTTAGCTGCTAAGTTCACTACAGGACCTCCAGAAACTACCAACTTCCATGGTGTTATGTGAGATTTTTTGTCATTGATATTTTTAGTTCTTTTGTATAGTAATTATTTCAACCCATTATTGAATGACAAAGATTCATGATATTGTGGTGTTTGTTTTGAAGTTTTAGATTGATGATATTTACTGTACACGCTATAACTTTTGCCTTATGATACATTACTATTATTTATTGAGTGAATTCTATCCATTTCTTAGATTTTCACTTTGCAAATTATTTGGATTTTTACTTGTTTATAATTTTTTTTAAAAGGAGTCTATTCAAAAGTTGAAAACAGATAAAAGGTTGATGGATTCATATTATGAGTTGGTACAATAAACCCTCATTACTATATATCTGCCTTTGATGTACTGTAATTTGCATCAGAATAATTAATAAATGAGCCTTTTTTTAATTACATGAATATTGCCACACCAAAATGTCATAGCATCACTGTGATGCATCTGCAGTAGGTAAAATTCATTCACAATAAATACTTTACACAGTACAGTACAAATTGTACAAATTGAGGTGTCTTTATCCCATATTTATAAAATCAAAGATCCAAAAGCCAAAAATTTTGAACCAATCTTACTGTACAGTATAAGAGTACAGAATGAAGTCACATATCTTGTGATGGGCCCCTAGTCAAACAGCTGGAATAAGTTGCAGTAGCATAGATAAATTCTGGTTGCATCTTCAGAACATTTAGTAGGGTCAACCAGTCGATGTGGCTGGCATTATCTCCATGCATCTTGCTCTGTAATTCACAAACTTCTTTGTTCACACTTTTCACTGATAAATTTTTAGCTGCAGTATTTAAAATTGCCAAACAAACCTTTGTTTACTGTATATATATATATATATATATATATATATATATATATATATATATATATATATATATATATATATATATATATATATATATATATATATATATATATATATTACTTATACAGTAATATCTTGTTTAGCCGGAATCCCTCAAACGGAACTCTTGGTTGTTGTTTTACAGTAAACAAAGGTTTGTTTGGCACTTTTAAATATTGCAGCTAAAAATTTATCAGTGAAAAGTGTGAACGCCAGGAGTTAATGGCACCAATGAGAGTTGTGGACCTATGTTTACGGTCATGTTCTGGAGTCATGGCCTGAGTCCAGAATGCCACATCATTGAGTGTCTATGTTCGGCTTTGTTTTGAAAACAAACATGGCTTCTTGGCGGTGGTAACATCTTGTTTGTATTCATCATTGTTGTCCAAGGGATCTGATTTCCACTTGGTACATGAATACCGATGTGTCCTGTGATTTTGAGGAGGGATAAAAAGGTATGAAATTGTTAAGAGGCGAGAGGAAAGGTTGTATCATCGACTCGTGGAGTTGTGATATAACTGTATGAGGCCAGAGTAATATTTATCCCCAAGTGTGGGAAATAGTAACACTTTATTTACATGAACAATCTTGTGATGGATATTTGAGAGGAAAAGAAGCTCTTCAATGCCTCAGCTTTGTTCAACTTAATTTTAAATAAACTATCTTTAGTGTACTGTATATTTGGGGTATCATCATCCCTGCAGTATTTTACCTTTGTTTCTCCCCATATCTTGGTACAACGTGTCCTAACCCTCGAGCCATGCTACCACAGATAAGAGGTTAGGGGGTATCTATGAGAAGAAAAGTAACTAAGAAATAGCTAACAAGGAATTAATAAAGTAAGAAATTGAAGGAAAGAAGCTTTGAAGAGAGAACCAATTAAGAAATAAAGAAAAGAGAAGAAGGTGGAAAGAAAGGAGAAAAAAAAATATAATTACAAAACATTCCCTACAAATAGGTTAACAGTAGTGGGATAGATAAATATAAAAAAAAATCTCTATATCAGCAAACAAGGAACAAGGGACTACAGTACTGAAATTTTGTTGTGAGAATTTAGGCAATAAGAAGTCGACAGTTTTCTCTCAGAAGATTAATCACTTTCTAAAATATAAACCTGACAGTAATTTCAATACAATCATCAGATTCTCTGATGCTTGCGAATTAAAATGAGATCACTTCAGTAGCAAATGGAAACTCAGGGCGTCCCCAAAGACGATGTCACTGGCAAGCTCTACACTGAATTTATTTTCCAATTTTATTATAAGTAAATACAGTTGAAGTGTTCAACATCACTCGCATAAGGGTAGTAAATGTTTCATCTGTAAGTAGACTTATCTAACTTAATGGAAGATGTACGCATTCATTCGCAATTTCAAATCTCCGAACACCATATGAGATATTAAGAGATATCAGAGTCTCCGAAGTACCAGAGAGAAAACGGAGGTCTCAGGTGTACTGATGCGGTGAGAAAACGGACGCCTCAGATGGGGGACTCGATAAAAAGTTATAGCTCCATGTTTTAAGGGCTATTGAGCGTAATACGAATCGTCTGATTTTACTTTAACTAACAAGTACGACCGCGGTCAGTACAGTGAAAGTCCAAGTTTCTACAAAAATGTCGCAGGAATACCATGTAATAACACTTGAACCTTTTTTATTTTCTAACTGGCAGAAATGAGGGAGAGAGGGCCATCGAGAGAAAAATAACAAAGCTGAGAGGAAGGAGGGCGAGCAGATGGGAGTGAGGGTTGGTGGCACATGGCGTGTTATGTTCCTGTCCAAGTGACAAGTCATATCGCACTAATAGGAGAGAAACAGAGGGAAGAGGAGGCAGCTGGGAGGGAGGGTGGGCGATCACTAATCCTAAGGGGGGAACTTAACTTATCACTTACTCTAAGGTCGCTGCCACCAGACCCCATGGGCAACAGGTAGCTGACTGAGCAAGCCAGGCACTGGGAGATCGTATTTTTCATTAATCAAATCGAGAGTGGAAGGAAGGGTGAAACACCAACCCAGATTTAACTAATTTATTTCCGAATAAAAATATATTGCATTCAATCAAAATACAAAAATAGTTGACCTTCACGAAAATAACTACTATTAAGGTCATTACACCACACACAGAATATCTGACCTTCTCCAAATGAACTAATTGGGTCGGCTCTCTTCCTACCAAATCATTGACCTCATTACCTCGGTCATTCTTTCCTACAATATCACCCACAAATATAACAAATCATTGACCTCATTACCTAGGTAATTATTTCTTACAATGAGATCCTTCCCAGGCCTTCATACCAGGACTATTTCAGCGTCCGGTATCATGGGGTCGCTTAAGTGGCGACCGAGAAACTTCTCAATCAGCGCAATCATTTTCTCCTGTCCGGGATGTTGATATGTAGGGTATCCAGAGATTAACAGTGGAGGGTGCATAGTGGCCCTAAGCAGTACACACCACACCAGGTGGGTTCCTCAAAGTAGAGCAGTGGTGGTTGCGAGGCCACGCATCCCAACGACCAGCAGTGGGACTCTGTCGCTCACAGGCGTGCACCTGCTGGGGTGATGCCCCAGCTCAAACACTGAATAAGCCTAAAGTTGCCAGGGCTTGAATTTCAATGTCTTTCAACTGGCCCCCACACATTCAATTCCTTATATATTATGACTTTATGCCTAATAATTACATATCTTAGATCTAAATTACATACTAAAGTAAGTGTCCGGTTTGTCAGTTTCTGGGGAAATTACTTAGGCTATCTCATTAACTCATAACTGTAGCCCCGGGCGGACTAGGCGCCAGAATAAACAAAGCCTTGGTTCTTGGCTTGGGTATATCTACCTCACTTCATTCTGTATATAAGGATCATTCCCCCACACTTTGCAAATGCTTAACACGTTCATAAGATTCTCGAATCATTGCACTATTCGTGGTTATTCGTTACATGGGGTAACGATGTGTATTAAGCTCACACCGAGGTACACAAGATATTTTCTTTGGAGTATAGTTTATGGGTCAATCCTTAACACTTCACATGTCTGACACCTTTATCGTTTTTCCAGATCATTGCTCTCACATATTTTCATCTGAAACTCGAGTTACCTATGTTCACTAATCGTACACAGATGAAAATACTTTGGCCTTTAGATACAGTTACACTTATTCACTTATAGTAGACTATTCCGTGTCTATTGGGCCTTTCAGATCATCATTTATATGCCTCGAGTTCTCCTTAATAATATAAGTACACACAATTAATATTACAGGTATATGCATCCGTAGAGTACATTGGTACAAACCACATAAAACTACAGCATGCGAGTTACCCGCTCAAAAAGTTTACCGTTTTCTGTGACCCCTAAACGCGGTGAGTTTGAATGTTATGTAGAGTAATATGAATCATAAGAGATACTTTTATCCTCTTCACCACTAATTGGCTCGTTAGTCGCTTGGGCGATCAGTCACGTCACTTCATCTAATAATGTGTCCATTGTAATAAAGCAGTTTGTAATTTATGCTGTGTTTACTCTTTCTCTGTACTACTAAGGTTTTATAATGAATATGTGGATTAGCCAAAAATAAGTATAATTGATAAGGATCAAGACTGCTTGTTTATATGCATTTGTCATCAGAAGATGGCTGAAAATTTCAGCCATCTTCTGATGACATACAACGACTTGTATTTCCAATATTTAGTATTGGTAATATAAGTCGTTGTTTAATGTAATTTTTCTAATAATGACTAAGACTTAATTACCTGCATTTTTTATTATACTTTTTGGCGCTTGGCCCCCGGTCGAAATATTGGTAATTCCTTGTATTGATTGCTTTTATGCAAACAGTACATTGATATTTGACATTCTGGTGTGGTCTTAATACATTATTTTTTCCATGTAATGAAAATGAAAATTATACCTGGCAATGCATATTAATGAAACTGCAAATGTTACCCATCAAAAACAATGCAGTTTTTACTATAATCTTTTCAATTAATATGACTTTAGTATCTGCCAAACCAGCTTTAAGAGCTCTGCACACTGCCACTTGAATGAACTCAATATCTTCATTGGTTTAAAATTTACGTCATTTTGAATTTTTCCAAACTTTAAGAGCGTTGTTTCTCCATTGTCATTGTGTTGCTCGGCACCTCAGCACCTATACTGTTCCTACAGACAAGTCGAATACTCCAAAATAACATTCGATTATTTAAAAAAATATCTTGAATACTATTGAATATACTGAAAAATTAATGGATATTTAACTAAAATAAATATTATTATTTGTAAAAATATTCTGGTAATGTTAAATGGTCTTAGAGATATATCTATGCATGTCTTAGTGAATGTTATGGTCGCCATTATTGTTTACATGACGTCATTTCCCCAACGTCATCTCCTAGAGCCGCCATCTTGGCCGGTACCACGCGGGATTTTGGACAATTTACGCTTATCTAGAGGGTCTAGGACCACTCAATACATAAATAAGCAAACAGACAAATAAATAATCATGGATCCGAAAAAACAGCAACTTCCTCCCAAGGAAAATGCGCTATTTAAGCGAATTCTGGTGAGTTCAAGAGACGCATGGCTTGTTGTTGGGGTTCGTCTGCATAAAAACAAAACGAACAACATTTATTATTTCATCTCTTAATCGCTGTCAGTAAAAGAAACCCTTCAGTTGGGGTTCTCATCAGGATCCTGAATTGTTGAAGATTTCATATTAGACAAAGTAATAGGACGTAACAAGTGGAGTGATTGTAATAAAGCCTTCAAATAACAGTCAGGTGACATGTCCTGCCAGAAGTCATATGACACATTTCTGGGGTAGTTCACTAATATGGTGACATTGAAGAAATTTTAACTAGTGCATTGTAATTGTTTTGTGATTAAAGAATGATATATGTATTGAGTTTTAGTAATGACAGCGATTAAGGAATAGGTGTATTGGTATAGTGTTGGGGTTGGCTTTAGACATGTAGAGTTGTGCCTTGGACAAAAATAATATAGTATGATTTATTATGATCTTCCTTTATTCTGTGTAACCTAACAGGTATTTTTAATGTATTAATATATATATACAGTACATTCACTAGGCATTGGCTAGGTTTAAAATGTTATCTTTATTAAAGAGGAATTCCTTTTCTATTACATGCTAGCCTAATAAGTGCATTGAATCACACGTGTTCTTGATTTGTAGAGTAAATGAATATTGGAAATAATTGTCAGAAGCCTTGGTTACTTGCTTTAATGTATATCTTCCCAACATTTCATTGTTCTTGTATTTTTGGTGGAGGTTACAAATTTTAATTGTGTATATCTAAAGGAAAATAAATCTGGAATATATGAATGGAAAAATATATCTCAAATTGGCTATTTATGGGGAACCGCTAACACCAGGAGTTTGATTTCGTTCATTTTTACCACATGTTCTTATCATTATAGTAAGTATTTTAAAAGAGCGACAACTTTTTGTTTTAATAGTAAGTAGTTTAAGTTATTTTTAGTTTTCTCTATCTTCACCTGTAAAGGGCAGAGCATGAAAGATGAGGGAAATTCCAGAATATAACACAGCGAAAAACTGATCATATGACGCTAAAATGATGTCTCTACACATGCGTTGTATGTGAATATATTAATTATTTACTGTAAATACTCTGAAAAATATGCCGAATCACTGTGTTTTGAATTCTGCTAAGTTTGTTTACAACCGACCTTTTTGGTCCGAGTTTACTTACTGTGCATAAAAAAAAACCCTTGAAATTATAACTAGATTCCTCAAAAAAGTACTTTCTGCTTAATATGGTGTTGGTCCAGCTGTTAGGAACTTAGGTAGGTTTCTTTGGTAGGTTAGGTCAGGTTCTATTAGGTTCTAATAAATGTTGCTTCATTTAAAATACTTACTATAATGATGAGAACATTGTGGTAAAAATGAACGAAACCGAACAACTCCTTTTGGTGGTGGTGGTGTTCTCATAAATTACTGTACCCTTAAATTTGTGTTAAGTGTGGCCTCTGCTTTCCCAGAAAAAATGGAGGAATTGCAACTTTTGTATGTTTGTTTTTTCTAGTTTTTGTTCAAAGTAAATATGATCTGTTCACACAAGGAGCAGTATTTTTTATTGAATTGCTGACAAGTTTCTTGGTGAGCAACTTACCAAACCTTTAAATAATGCATTTTCATTCTTGTAAGTAAGGGTAGGTTAGGTAGGTTTGCATGGTTTTTGGTAATGCTTGAGGAGAGTGATCCAACCATGGCAGTTACCCGAAAAATTTTCTCTGTAAAAGATGAAAGCTTTCTTACCTTACAGGAAGATTACATTTTGCGTCACTTCACTTTTACAAGTTTTCAGTTTGGTAAACATTCGTTTTATGACGAACAAGGCACTTAATATTTCTATTTGTTTCGGGAGAAAGCAAAAAAAGAAAATTATTTAATTCTACTTTGTTTATGTCGTATATTTATATTTTTCAAGTATTGTAACCAATGTGAACACAAAATAAACCTTTGAAAACCTTAGCTAACCTTTCCTTACCTATAAAATGGTTAAAAATTTTTTTTAAGAGTTTAAGGGTCTATTTTGACGTGAACACCAAAAACACCACCACCATCACATACTTAACACCGAAAACTCGAATGAGGTACAGTAATATTTTTATAGTTTTAGAATTTTTATAGGTTAGGTAAGGTTTTAAAAGGTTTGTTTGGTGTTCTCTCTTTTGAATTTTGCCCCACATTTTCCCTCTCTGTCAAAGCCTTTCCCACTTTGAACAACCAGTATTGTAAGTGTTTGGGAGATCATATCGGTAAAAGTACTCAAATATATAAATTTGTGACGACCTAAAACAAATCCTTACCATAAATTTTTCTGTGATAGGTGGAGCTCTCTACCCACATGAACAGTTTATAATGGCAACACTCTGGAACTAGCATGTTGCTGTAGGTTTGTGTTCAGGACGAGAGATTGTAAAAGCAAAAGTAGGAATACAGTACTACAATTCCTCTCTTTCTATTTTTTCTGCAAGAGTTAAGAAAGAATTTTTTCTATAGAATAGTTTTTGTAAAGTTGCTCTTCTCACAAGACGGTTATTTAGACTGTGTTTTCCCAAAATGGGGAGTTTGCTAATACACGGTGGTCCATTCTTGCTGAAATCAGACATAGTGATGTTTGTGTTAATTTGCCAAAGTACTGCAGAATGAAGGATGCTGCCTGTTTGCTAGACAATTTGCCATACTTGGCTAGAAGGTAAACATGCTTAATGTTCAGTGATACAAATTTATTGAATTTCACAATACTGTATTAATATTTTAGAAAAAAATTGAAAATTTAAAGTTCAAAACCATTTCCTGACATGGCTTATACAGAGAGGAAATACTGTAGGTTTCATAATTTTTTTGGGGGTGTATTCCTGAGACATAGATAAGGATAAATGATGCCATGACCATATGTTAGTATCCCATATTTTCGGAGTTATACTGTACCAAAACATTGGGTAAAGGAGGACTGCAACATTTCTATGGACATAAAATATCACTTTTGTGATGGACCAGAGTCAGACTGGCCATTGTGCCTTTATGCCATGGCACATGGACCCCCCCCTTCCTTCCCTTAAAAAAATCTTTGAAAGAAATTCAGATTATACTACCCTGAGCCAACGACACGCACAAGATGATAGGACGGGGATGTTATTACCTCGGTTTCTTTTCTCTATAAACTAATGGTATCGTGATGGATGGTACTAATAACATATCAGGAAATGATCAGATGAGTGAGTGTTTTTTTCTCAAAAAATTATAAACTTGATGACTAACAGTGCTAGTGGGGTGGAATAGGCCACAACTGTCTTTGCTAGTGGGGTGGAACGGGTCCAACTCTTAATGAAATGGCACGGCCCCCAAACAGTGCCCAGTCCACCTCTGTGACGGGCTGAAGCCTGCATTTAGGAAGAGGATCGGAACTTTGAACATAGTATAAGATTGCATATGATTGTAAATGAAGTGTAATAGCACCACTGGATATTTCATTTATACTTCATAGATTTAATCACATTCCAACCCCAACTGTCTTGTGTTATACCGTAACTCCGAAACTATGGGGTATTAACACTGTGGTCATAAAGTCAATTATCCCAATGTATGTCTCGGGAATACACCCCCAGAATTATGAAATGTATTTCCGAAACACCCTATATATGACGAGAGTAAAGATAGCTTTGAAATTTTATACACGTGGTTCTTCGTCAGGATGCACTGGATAGTATACCCGTCTGGCCGGATAGCTGATATTTTCATTGTGGTATCCAGCCAGATAATTAAATCTACACTATCCATCTGGATACCAGTAGTCAAAATTTTCAGCTTTATATTTAATAAATACAGTAGAATTAAGTAACGAGAATATGGATGAAAAGGTATAACAAAAGGACACACTCAAGACTGATTTAAATTTATTGTTACTGATAGTCCTTGATTGTCTTAATTTTCTCCCTAGTCTCATTTTTTCTGTTGTTGCTATCAAAATGGTGTCGTTGTCATTGTGGTAGTTATCGTCTGCAAAGAACAGGGGTGAAAAAAGATGAATGGAGGAAGGGTATTGGCAATTTGGAAATTGAAGGAAGTGGAGGAAGAAGTGCAATAGTTGGCAGGCTGACCACTTTGCTTCTTCCCCCACATATCCCTAAAAATCAGTTACCATACTTAAAACCAGCAGTAAGAAATGGTACCATACCATTTCATCATTACAAAAACATTTTCTTGTTTCAAGAAATTAAAAAATAAGTGAGAAGCTCTACAAAATACCCAAACTACACTTTACATAGTAGATGGAGGGAAGTGGGATGCGAAGGTGGTGGCAAGCACATTTGAACTCTGTGTTTATCAAGTTGTGTCATGTTCCCAAACAGTATGTGTGTGTGTGCACTTATGCAGACATACAGTACTGTACACTTATATTAATGTGCGGATATGAACAATGATAGGGTAATAAATTTTCCCCAATACAGTACTGTACTACTGTATACACTATATACTGTACTCACAGCAAATGCTGTTGTCTTGAGCTTGTGATGCAGGCAGGCCAAATGGTGATATGATGATACAGGTTGGCCTGTCAATCTCCTCTTCCTGCATGAAGGAGGGATTGTACACACACTATACTGTACATACAACCTCCACACACAAGCCTACAGTAGACATACACATTCTACTCTTATATTTATAGTACTGTACTGTACACATGGTACTTTCACACTTACTGAATGTACACTCGCACCAAAAAGTATCGGTGCAGAGTGAGATCGACGAGTTCCGAAACGATACGTATACACTGTGATATGTCGGGAAGGTTGGTAAGTGTATCCTCATAACCCCCCCCCCTCCTCCACTAGGTGTTGCCATATGGCTGACAATCAGGGCTGCCAACATACGGCTGGAACAACTCGCCTTTCCCAATACCTATCGTCACTGGTCTCAAATTGTTCACACTACAGTATGCACCGATACTTTTTGTTGCGAGTGTACAGTATGTGTGTTACTATAATCACTTTTTACGTCTTACACTCCCTTAACGGTATTCTTGGCAGATTGTATCCTGGTACAGTACAGTACCGCATAACACAGATCGTATGCATAAACAGCAGTGAGCGAGCGAATAAGCTTGTACAATGGCAGCAGACAATGAACTAAGAGTGTCATGATGCTAAAGTTTGAGGAGTTAGGCTGTGAGATACATCAGCCAATCATAGGCATCACATGCAATCACATGACAGTACATAGTAGCCAAACATAGCTCACGAGCACTCTGAGCCTACCAACCCACTCGATCGGCATGTGTCGGCACATGATGTAATCTCTCCAAATTTTATTCAAATACTGGATCGAAGAGATTTTTCTGAGAATTTCCCAGAATGCTCAAAAAAGAAAATTACGGACAAAGAAAGTTCGAGGATCGAAAATTCCAGCTAATGGGGAGATTATAAAATTAGGTCATCTTAGTCAAGGCTGTACAGTATTTGCTAAAGTTACCGAATACCTGTATACATCTTGTTCAGAGAGTATGTATTGCTGGACCTGATCTAAATTAAAACAAAAAAAACTATTCATTATTAGTGAGAGACCTTCATCAAGAGCTCACAACCTGTTATCAGACTAATACTACCTTTTACTGTATTTATTAGTGTCAACACCCTTGATGTATAAATCTAAACTGAACATGCTAGAGTTTTAATACTTCATATATCTTATTTTTACAGAAATGCTATGAACAGAAACAGTACAAAAATGGATTGAAATTTGCAAAACAAATCCTGGCAAACTTTTCTGATCATGGAGGTAAGTTCATGTTTGTGTATATGATTTACACCTCATATTACCACAAAACTTTCATTTGAGGAAATCTGAGGGAAGTATATTAAAGGGTTTATGTAATCTTTAGATTTTATGTGAGGTTGAGGATAATTATATGTATGGAAATAGCTGTTTTTATGTTCATTTGTATGTACTGTACTTTATATCACTGTGGAAGAGTAGGGAACTTTTTGTTACATTTAATATGTTGTTGTTTATTTTGCTGCAAGTTTTGAATTGCATATGTGTTGTTAACCTTCAGCAGTGGGTCCTAACTTGAATCTTATTTTTGTACTGTAATTGATGTTGCAATTTTGGATAGATTAGAAGGCAACTAGGCAGACAAAATTAACACAGATGTGCATGTGGATTTTGGGGTCAAACATTAGAGACTGGGGTTATTGTTATAAAACTACAGCAAGTTGTATCCTTATTGAAGTAAGCTCTACATGTTTTGATATAACACTTTGTGGTAAGTGTTTGAGAACTCACATTAGTCAGGAATAGATAGACTATGAGTGAGAAATACATTTTTCAGTACAAGATACCAATACTTTATCTATTTTCTTGTTTTAATGTACATGATATTTTCAATGTTAATGGGTAAGGAAGTACAGTAAATATATATATTTTTAAATTAATTAAAGGATTTATTTTATAATTTTTTGGTTTTCATCTTTTGCAGAAACGCTTGCTATGAAGGGGCTTATACTGAATTGCCTGGGGCGGAAAGAAGATGCTTACAGCTTCGTCAGACAAGGCCTCCGCAACAATCTGAAGAGTCATGTCTGTTGGCATGTGTTTGGATTACTGCAACGATCTGATAAAAAGTATGACGAAGCTATCAAATGTTACCGAAACGCTCTCAAATGGGATAAAGATAATCTTCAAATATTACGGGACCTATCCCTTCTCCAAATTCAAATGAGAGACCTTGATGGCTACAAGGCAAGTGAAGTGTGCAAGTATATTTTTCTTATAATACAAAATATTGTTATTGTCGGGGGGTTATAAAAGGATTTTTTTCTTGCTGATAACTGCTCCTTCAACCCCCACCTGTTTGCCTTCATGAGGAGTTTGAGAGTATATATTGCTAATGATTAATTGCAAATGTTTCTCTTATTGCTCAATGTTTCACATAAATTTTCTCTGTAATGCCCCTGTATCCACAACACTATAATAATTTTTCTCATGAAATATCCACAGATAAGGCTGCTTAAGTTGTTGAATAACTTACATTTTGGATAAATTAATGCTAAATTGCATGGTTTTCAGTATTTATTTCTGAAATGCAGGTGCTGTAGATAAACAATTTATTAATACTTAAGTTTTGTCTCTTGTAGGAAACTCGGTATAAATTATTTGAACTTCGACCCACACAACGTGCTTCATGGATTGGTTATGCTATGTCCTTCCATCTCTTACAAGATTATGATACAGCACTGAAGATTCTAGAAGAATTTAGGAAAACTATTCAGGTGATTACAAAATTTCTTTTGAGATTCTGCAAAATATGTACAGGTATATTACCTTTACCTTATTTTCCTAATGACCACCCACTGGAATAACCTTTGTGTTACATTAAGTAAAATTAGTACAGCTACAATATGTTACTACAGTATTAAGAATTATTGTGCTGTCAAACATAAAGTGGATTAAAACTAAATATCAAATAAGGCTTAAGTGTTTAAAACTTTTATTGTCTTACAGAAAACTACGTATGATTATGAGTACAGTGAACTTTTACTGTACCAGAATCTTGTCATAAGAGAGAGCAAGAATTTACATGAAGCATTAAAACATCTCAATACTTATGAAGCCAACATCTGTGATAAAGTCACGCTTCAAGAACTTAGAGGTACAGTATTTCATATGTCACAGTACAGTACACATAATTATGACCTTGTGTTGAAATATGTCAGAGAGTTCATATGATAGTTGTAGTACAACATAGGAATTATTGGTGGGATGAGTAAATAGTTTTAATTGATTGAGGGAGTGTGTTTTGAGTGTTTGTTGTCACCTTGGTTGTTCATTGCATTATTACACTAACTATTTCCTCGGATGGTTCAGAACATTGATATAAATAATATACTGCCTTTTCCCTCCACTTCCAAGAAGTACATATTATCTTTACTGATTAAAGAAAAGCCAAATTCTGCATATAACATACAGAAGATAGCTCAGTAAATTGAAAGTATAGCTATACTTCATGTGTATTCATACAGGTGTCCACAATGTAAATACAGTACAGGATATGTGAAATATGCTTGCACTGTATACATTATTCCCCCACACTTGACTTATTCACTGAAACTGTAAAAAAAACCCTGTAAGGATGGGAGTGTTGAGGGAGAAGGTTGTTTTTGCCTCCCTCCCTGGTTCCACCTTTACACACTTAGACCACTAATGGATAAAAATCATACCATTTGTTTGATTACTGCATCTTTACCAAATAAAATCACTGTACTTACTTGTTGGGGTCTACTGTGTGTATTGAGATGTTAGTTTTGAGTACAGTTATGTGCTGTTTAATTAGTAAATTAAATGATTAATAAGGATTCAGTTTATGACTTGAGTGTTTTTAAGTTATGAAAATTAAATTCAATGTGTGAAATTTTAATTGAAAGATTACTTACGTGCCTACCTGGATCCTAAGCAAGGCAACTGTTCCCTACCTGATGACTAATCTTTTTTCATGCAATGCACTACAGTATATGTTATGTTATGGTTATTTTTCAGCTTGTGATTTTGGGTAGATATACAGTCACAGTCACAAGTAATCATCCACCCCTCGTACTACCATACCCGTGTCTCAAAAGGGTTGTAGAGAGCTAGGGGTGGCAAACCTGGGTAGGGTAGGAGGGCACAAGTTAGTGTATGCAGTCTTAGAATTATCAGGTGTTACGATATTTCGTTCGGTGGGTGTAGCTTGACGTTGATGGCCTTAATAACCTTGGCAGTTGATAGGCCTAAAGCCCAACCGACCAACCTGGAGGATGGGTGTCTGGGATGTGTCATATGGACGACTTAAGTTTCTCATAGTTATCTAATAATAATAATAATAATAATTAACGGTTTATTGAAAGAGCTTGGCAGCCAGAAGGCTGAAAATATAGTTACATATTTGGGGAATGGGTTTCGAATTACAAATAATATACAAGTAACATAAGTGACACAAATAAGACATATAATAACTAGATGGGGAAAAGCTCAAACCACAGTTCATTTCAACATAGTGACAGTGCAAGGAGTAGTGTTTACTGGGAGTGAATGCACTGGTTTATTACAAGTTATTGATAATTTTTACAATGGTTGGGACTGGGCTGTTTTTATAGCGATCAGTTCGTGCACGTATGGGCTGGATGCGGTTGTGGTGTCGAACAGCAATTCTCGGGCTAGGATCTCAGGTGGTAGTAGGAGCCGGTGTCGAGGATGGTGTAGAAGCTTCTTACCAAATTTGCAGATGAGGTCGTGGTGATGGTCAGTGAGAGTCGAAAGGGTCAGTGTGTTGAGCGCTTCTTGATATGTGGAGTAGGAAGGGAGAGAATAATCTTGCATGCCCTCTTTTGCACTTTTTCTAGGTGTTTACGTTGTGTGGCATTTAGGAGGAAGACCAGGTGGGGGAGGCATAGGTGAGCTTGGGAAGTATGAATGTTGAGTAAACACTGAGGAGCTCGGGTGCAGGAACTCCGAGGGACTTGAGTCGGCGGAGGAGGTGGAGACGGAAACTGGAGGATTTGACAACTTCCTGACGTGTGGTTTCCAATTTAGTTTGTTGTCTATGGTGACGCCGAGGAGCTTCGTGGAATCTACAACCTGGAGTGTGTTCGGACCTAGAGTAATGGAAGGAGGTGGGACAATGTCGGAGGAGAGGTTGATGTGCATAACCATGGTCTCGGTATGGTTGATGGTGACATGGTTGTTGGTGGCCCAGTTTTGGAGACTTCAATAAATCCTGAAGGGCGGTATAGTTGGGAGCAGAATTGTTGACGCTGATCCCAATGGTGGAGTCGTCGACATATTTCCAGTGAGCAGGGGTTTCTCTTAGGGCATCATTGATGAGCATAAGGAAGCAGAGTGATCCCATCTTGGTGCCTTGGGGGACGCCACAGGTGAGTGACTGAAAGGTGGAGACAGCCCCTCGGAAGCGTACAGCTTGGCGTCGGTCACTGAGGAAGTCTGTAAGCCATGGTATAAGACTTCTCCGAAGCCCGAGGTCAATAGCTTTGTTGATGATTATATTGTGGTCGACTAGGTCGAATGCTTCAGTGAAATCAATGAAGGTGACAGCTACAGACGTTTTTCGTTTCTCGAGATGGCGGTATATGTAATCGAGAAAGCTGACAAGACAGTGAGTGGTGGAGGAAGTTTTTATGTTGCCAAATTGCTGAGGGTCTACGACTCCTGCAATATCAGCATAAGCCCAGTCGAACACAAAACTTTCACAGATTAGGCTGGGTATTGGGGTGATTGCAATAGGTCGTAGCTGATTTAAGGATTGTGGGCTGGTTGACTTGGGCACTGGTGATACATAAGAGGTCTTCCAGTCAGCTGGGCATCTGGCTTGACTGAGAGAAGCATTGATGATGGAGCATTGGGGTTTAGCAAGCTCCGGGGAGAACTCCTTGAAGAGTTTCATTGGTAAGTCAATGGGGGTGGTAGCGCGTTTTAATTTTAGTTTGTCCAGGCGTTTTGCTACTTCAAATTCTTTTACTAAGTCAGTGGGAAGGGGGGCTGGTAGGTAAGCAGGGAGAGTGGTTGTGTCAAGCCGGGGGAGCGTCTGGCATATAGTAGTGAAATGATTATTTACTTGAGATTCTGGGAGGAATGCGAGTGAGCTTTTGACAGGTAATGTGCCATTAGGGTTGATATGGCATCTGGCTTCCATAGGGAAAAGCCCCTTATATGACAACTTAAGAGAAGAGGGGACATGGCTTTGCATTTGGCCTTGCTCATCACCAGTAACATTAAACTAGGCTGTTGCTCGATCACTGTAACCTCCCACCACTGCCGTTCTTGGAAAAAAAAATCACTATTAATTAATAAAAAAATTTGAATGAATTGTTGGATAAAATGGGGCTTTTCCACCCTGTAGTATGTGTATTGAAGTAGTGAAAATCAATGTGAGGTGGTAGTGGCAATGGTGTTTGGTTGCTCTGCTCCACACCCAGCCCAGGATGGACACGAAGGAATGTGTTGGTAAATATTAAGAATAAATGTGATTTCCATCCTCTTATTCAATATTTCTCCTCATATCAATGTTATTGTAAATATCTAATTCCTGTTTTCTAAAACCTGAACCACAACCTGAAAAAATGATAAATAAGGAAATGGGCGGTACATTATATAATAATCATAAAATAAAGATCCTCATCTATTACTCTTACAAGCATGTAAACCTATAATAATATACTGTAGTGAAGAAAAAAAAAATCCTTCCTACCCTTCGTTCTTTCATGAATGTCCCTGCTTTCTTCAATCCCCTCCCCCTTTCTCTAATGAGCAATTTGCATCACGTACTACTCTCCCACACCCCTCCCCCACCAACAAACAGCCAAGTCGACCATTCCCCCTCTACCCCACATGGCTTGCCATGCAGAAAGGACCTGGCCAGGTGTAGAGGTTAGGTTGTGGAGTGGATGTTTTCTTTTGACTGTGATTGTACTTAATTTTTTTGTAAACTGTAACATGCACACACCATCCTACATACAGAATGTGCATAAAAATAAAATAAATATTTACCATAAGGTTAAAAACAAAGGGAATGAACATTTCTTTGTGCTGTTGTGTAAGAGAGAAGATAACATGTGATAAATTTGAAAGTTCTTAGTGTTATATTTCTTAAACTTTTTCATTTGTTTTGACTTTGCGCTGATGATTAGCATGCTTTCCAACAGGAGAATTATATATGAAATTAGGAAGAAAAGGAGATGCATCAGAAGTCTACAGAGGTTTAATCAAGCGTAACCCAGAGAATCGCAACTACTACCTCAAGTTAGAGGAGGCCTTGGGGCTTGCCACAGTTGAAGAAAGACTAAAATTATATGAAGAACTCAAAGAGAAGTAAGTTGTATTTAACCTCACCTCTTAACCTCTTTGTTCCTAGGAGCCAATATGACTCTAAACCCCCTAGCAGAGGTGCCATATTCTACCTGTACATGGCTTACAATGCTGAATTTCTATATTATATTACTTTAATATGCTTACTGCTGTATTTTCCCTTTTTTGTTTCTTATTTCTCAGTGAATATTCTTTATTGCAATTAATTTTCCCCTGCTTTAATGTCTCCTGCCATCCTGGGAGGGGGAAAAAGGTTGCTTGTGTTCTGTCCAGGTGTTTGTCCATGTATCCATCTCCCTATGAGTGTAGGAGTTATAAACACAATAACCGAGACAAATATGGTCGATTTGTAATCATTCTGGGTATATGGACATACTACAAGATTGCAGATGGGTTCAGTGATCAGCATTTTTGTCATCATTGTTTTGGGTTGTTCCTCTTTGGACTTGACTGTGGTATGGCAAGGGACCTGTTCACTTTTTATGGTGACCTTGTTTCTGTGCCAACTAGACCTCATTAAAATTTTAAGATTGAATGTTTTGAGCATTGTCATTTTTATTTTTTAAACTTAAAAAATGTGAGAACAGCCACTCAACATGTATGGAGTTATGTGTCAGCAAAATATTTATAATAGTTTGTTTGCACCTCTCAGTGAATTAGGAATTATGACACTCATGAGTAAGAGATGCTGAGTTGTATGTATTAATCTCCTTAAATATGTTTCCATCCACTTCTTGTTCAGTACTAAACTAATAATATGATGTGTGAGGTCATGGTTCAAGCTGGTCTAGCAGGTTATTTGTTACTTAGGTTAATATTCAAAAGTGTTATTTATGATTTTCATATTATATCTATACTGACGTAATTCTTCATACTGAATAGAATGCTATCTCGAGGCTTCTGCTAGCCTAGCCGTTTTGTCATATTACGTACCGGTACATAAATTTTTCAATGTTGATGAAAATTTAGACTGGGAAAGATTCTGGTGATCCCTTATATTTTCCTGCCTTAAATTTATCATTATCATGTCATGAAATATATTTTCAAAATTAGTTTCAATAATTCAGTAATGTTGCCATGTGTAAAATCTCATGCAAAAAGTGGGAAAACAGTACAGTATACATTTCATAAAGTAACCAAATGGTTGGAGAGATTTGGGTGTAAGCTTTTACAAAAATGATGACTATAGTTGGTGAACCATGAAGTTCATAACCTCAGCTGTACCTAAAATGCCAAATATAATATGAACCCATCATATCTAACTCTTTCTCTCTTTCCTTTTATTTTTTATTTTCTTTTTTCTCTTTCTCTTTTTTTACACACAAACTCACACACACACACACACACACACACACACACAGTATATGTTAACTGGATGCCATCTGTAAAAATTTGGATGCCTGGAATAACTTAAGCTCATTGTTGTTACAGGTTCCCCCGTGCTCAAGTGCCTAAGCGACTACCTCTCAATTATGCCAGAGGGGAAGAGCTTGAATCCTTGTTAGACCCTTACCTAAGAGCAGCGTTACAGAAAGGCGTCCCTCCGCTCTTTACTGATATCCAATCATTGTACAGTGATCCTGATAAAATCCAGATTGTTGAGAAGCTCATGAATAGTTACCTGACGAATTTGGAGGAAACGGGACACTTGTGTGAAACAGGTTTGTGCTGCTTGTTTCAAGAGTTAAATATTTAATATTGGTCAATACAAGGTATTAGATAATTTATGAGAATTTGGTTATAACCAGTGACAACATGCAGTATACAGTACAGGTATATTTATTCTTTATTTTGTTAATGTAGTTACTGGTATGTAAGGAAGCATTCCATTAATAGATTAAATCATGTTAAAAAGTACTGTGTTTGATGCATTCATCAGACTGTATGCACTTTATATTCTATGTAATACGTAAAAGTATGTAACAGTTTATATAATGATGAAATTGTATAAACAAACTCTGAGGAACTGTAAGCCTTTCCTTTTCTCCCTGACAGATAATGAGTTTAAGGAACCAGCCTCCATCTTATATGTATTGATGTTCTTAGCGCAGCACCACAGTTACTTAGGAGATATAGAAAAAGCACTAGCACTCATGGACCGGGCATTAGAGCACACTCCAACCTTAATAGAACTCTATATTGTCAAAGGCAAAATACTAAAGGTAAGACAAGTGAGGTCATATTTTAAATTTTGTTCAAAGAATTATGGTCTTGACTTTCACACTCAACTTTATACAGTACTGCAAGCATCTTTTTACTAGTGTAATTATTTTTTCACGTATTTCATTGTTTACATACAAAATGAGATATTTACCAGTTAAAATATATTGGGCTGCATTTCTTGATAATGTTTCCATTTTATTTTACAACAAACTTTATTTACGTTTAGCAACTCATGTATGCTCTGAACAGAAGGGAATTTTGATGTTACATGTAATTTTCTTAGATATTCAAGTCATATACCCTAATACTCTCTTAATTCTTCCACAGCATGCAGGTGATTATGTAGGTTCATATGAGGCCTTACAAGAAGCCCAAGCTCTTGACACCGCGGATCGATATGTCAATTCAAAGGCAGCATCATACCTTCTTAAAGCTAATTTAGTCAGACAAGCAGAAGAAATGTGCTCCAAGTTTACTAGAGTGAGTGAAACTGACTTTATTGGAGGAGGACTCCTATATTTATAACAGAAGCACTTCTGTTTATGTTTGAAGCCAATCATTCAACTACCCTTTGAGTGTAATGCCCCTTTATATTATTAATGCCAATTATGCTTACTTTTATCAGCATTTTTTCTTCCATGAGATTTTCTATATGACTTTGAATTAAATTTCTATGTACAGTACTGTATGTGAAAAAGTAATTAATGGCCATAAAGTAATCATATGTTGTTTCCCTGGTGTTTAGGAGGGTGTGACGGCAATGGAGAACCTAAATGAGATGCAGTGTATGTGGTTCCAAACAGAATGTGCGCAAGCTTACTACCGCCTTGGCCAGTATGGAGATTCTCTTAGGAAATGTCATGAAGTGGATAGGGTAAGTATTTGAGTTCTCTGTAATTTCTTAAGTTATATTATTCATCTTAAGGGAATACATACCATAGTAGAATATGTTTCATGAATTCATTAATGAAACATATTAATTCATTCAGTGATATGATATACATTTGCTGGAGAAAATATAAAGCTCTTAGGAGAAACATTAAGGATTGATTAAAGAGAGGACAGCTTATTTGAGAAGGAAAATTGTACAGAAATAAGGAAGTGTGAGAAGTGTTAGGCAGAAAGCTGATCAAGGTTTGCTAAGGTTGTACTATAGACTTACTGTAGTAAAAGAATGAGAATTGAAAGATGGGTAAAAAGAATATAATTCAGAGGTGGATGGTTGGCAGGAGAGGTGATGACCAAGAAAGAAAAGAGGGATAGGGAATGAAGTTTTAGGAAGGAATGACGTTTATGATTGCTGTAAATAATGGGAGTGTCCGTGTGTGCTTGCTCTTAATTACAGCCACCCTGCTTAATGGTGGAAAAGACTTGAGAGCAGAAATAATAAAAATATTTTTTATACCTTATTGGATTCAGAGCATCTTTGCATTTTCAACTAATAGGTTAATGTACACATCATGTTATTCTAGAATATCTTCTAATAAGTTATTTTCTTGAGAAATTTGTACAGTATATTGATTTCACTCATTTGAAATTAAACTAATGATCTCTTTTTAGTACTTATTCACTAATGTATTTTATGTATTTTCTCATCCTTGCAGCATTTTACGGAGATAATTGAGGACCAATTTGACTTCCACACCTACTGTATGAGGAAGATGACTTTACGTTCCTATGTTGAACTCCTTAGACTAGAAGATGTTTTAAGGAGTAACAGATTCTATTGGGATGCAGCACAGATAGCAATCACTATTTACCTCAGGTGAGGACCTGACTCAATTAGTATCAAAGTGCTTGGGGAAAATTTTGTCAATCCACATTCACTGTCATTAAAACATGAGAAAAATAATTTGTGAGATCCAAGTTTGTACTAATGTTTTGTTACTGAGATATTAAGAATGCTCTTTGATTATCCTTGAGTTAAATGGATGAGCTTGCATATGGCCCAATAATTTTAATAGTATTTCCCTAATAGGACTCTGCATTTTTTATTGTATACTGTATATGAATTAGTTCACTTTTTGAGTGTGTTGTTAATATTGTGTTCACTCCCCAGGTTACATGACCAGCCACTGTCAGCGAACACTGGGGAAAATAATATCAATACTGGTGAGTGTTAAAATTTTATGTGGTTGTCTATCTGTATGGAAGTGGAAGAGTTTGAGAGCTGTGTTTTCCTTATCTGTGTATTAGTCACTGAAACTGAAATTGAATACATGTGTAGATATGGTGGATATTTCTGGGGAGGCTGAGAGTGGTTGTTAACACGTGATAACATTTCGTCACAATCTGAAATGACCCGGAGTTCAGACCTAATTACCACATGTACAGTGAGTCCTCGTTACTAAAATAGTTGGGGATGTGTTCTTGAGGACCACGATGAACAACAAAAAATGAACAATGGGATCCATTATCCCATCGACTTGCACGTCATACGATGAAGATGTGTTCCAACGATGAACATAAACTAAGGTATTTGACTTAGTTTTACTCATTATTTTTACAATAATAACTTTAAAGCTGCTTGAGTATACAGTATTACTAAGAAATTGAATAAATAAAATTGGAGATAATTTGCTCTGGTGTCATGTTGCTCTTCTTAGCCACTTTACTTTGCAGTGCAGCGCTCTCACTTACTGAACACTTAGAGGCCATAATGTCAGAGTGGAGAGCACTTTATTGTAAAAAAAATGCTCACCCAACACAGGACTGGCAGATATTGTGATGCACTTTTGCTTTGAAACAACAATAAATCAGATTCCGTACAGTTGTTTGAAAGAATTTGTTTACTGTTTTGGGATGTTACTCTTTACTTTTAAGCTGTAAAGATGTTTGTAAATATTTTATAAATACAATAATTGTAAATTAAAATACACTACAGTCTCTAATTAAATTTAGTAGAATATTATTTAATATTGCGCAGTGAACTATCGTTCAGCAGATGGCAAAAATGTCGTTACTGTTGTACAGTTGGACAAACTAGCCCGAGAAGATTATATATTCACTGTATACTGTATTGTATATATACCTGTATATTTAATTTCTGTATACAGTAATGTCCTTATTTTTTTATTTATAAATGATGAGGACTGCGTGCAGTGAGTTCTGCTATAACGCGTGTTTTGATAACGCGAATTTGCTCTAACCCGATTTATGAATTAGGAACGATATTTGTATAACGCGAATGCTTGTTTGCTATAACGCGATTTTTGCTTACTATTTCTCCAATTTTGTGGCATTAATTGTGAATATGGTAAAGAAGAATATCTCCAAGAAGCGTTCTGGTGATAGATTTCCCGGTGATGATCGTAAAAGAAAGGATATAACACTTGAAAAGAAGCTCGATGTTATCAACCTCAAAATCACCCTTCTCCCCCATCAAGTTACATTCATATTTTTTCAAGGTAAAGTGTTACATTTACTGTATGATTTCATTATTAGATATGAATGTAACATTTATTTAGACTGTGGTATCCTTTGTGTTAGGCTAACTACTAATTTTTTTCGATTTCTAGTAATCTGCACCTAACCCTATTTTCTCCATAAGCCCTGTTATTTCTATTACGCGATTTTCTATAACATGATATTTTACAAGAACACAATTATCGCGTTATAGCAGAACTACCTGTGTACTGTATTGGGAACACAAGTGGATACTTTGAAGTTTTAACATTTTCACACATCCCTGTTTTCACACTTTCACTGTGACCTTACCACTGCTCAAAGCTTCCTGTCAGTGTTTTATAATGTAGAAACATTGCTTTTCACCACTAAATTTTGTTTGGATCGAGGCCTTATAATTTGAAAGTGCTAAGGACCCAGGGAAATATTAAGTATTTGATACCTTTGGTTATCTGGGAGGAGACATATTAAGAAATGATTATTGGTCTGGTCATTAGTTTTTTTGTGGGGAGGTATGGGGGGGCCAGAGTAGGATTCTGCTGTGAGGTATAACTACCAACTAGTACTGTACTAAAAATGGAGCTTAACCTGTAAAAGCATGAGCCCTGAAACGTTTTGTTGTCTTCTCAACAATAAACTTATAACAAGATGTCACGAATGCAATCTCTAGATACTTGTGACGAAGGAGTGATTTTACACATCGTGGTCCCAGTATTCAGTTATTACAACACCCTACCTGGTCTTGCTGTAGTACAGTACAGTAAGATCTCATATTTCGCGCGATTTTTCACGTTTTTGAATTTCACGAGCACTACCTAATGTAACCAAGTCTTATATTTGGCGTAAAATATCGTGAGTTTCGCGAGGTCCAGCAAGATGAATGATGGCCACCGTCTAGAATGACGTCACAGCCCTCATATCAGTTACAGTAATTTCTGCTACAACGCATGTTTTGTTAACGCGAATTGGTTGTAACGTGATTGATGAATAGGGGAACACTGTTTGTAAAACGCGAACTTTTGCATACAAATGTTGGCTATAGCGCGATTCCATCCTCAATGTTTTGATTCCATCCTCAATGTTTTAGGCGCGGGGTTATGCAATGTTTACAGTTCACGTTCGACACCACATGTTCAATTGATTCGTGTCTTTTGTTTGTGAAGCGTTTTTTTGAGAGGTACTCTGTAAATTTCGTTCTTTTTTTGCAAATTTAGCTGTTACTCAAATACTGTATGAAAAGAATAAGTAAAAAGAATTTTTTCGCAGTAAGGACTAATAACAGTTTACACCGGCGCTCTCTGTTTACATCACGTGAGCAGTTGAATCGCGCGGTTTCTGTCGATTACTCCGTGATTTTCGCTGGAAAGACAAAGTAAGAAGAATGTTTCCAAGAAGCATTCTGGTGATCGGATTGCTGTTGGTGAACATGAAAGAGGTTTACAAGAACGCAATTATTGTGTTGTAGCCCGCGCCATCCTAGCGACCGCCCGGGCTGTTATTGTGTGCTTTTTTGGGTGATGCTACCACCTGTCGAGTCAAGATAATGGCTTCTACCTCTACTGGGGGGTCCTACTGCTGCTGGTGCTGGTGGGACAGACCCACCTAAGTGGCCAAATAAGGAAAAGGAGAAGCAGGACAATCATAAGGGAGTTTGCCAAGTACTCGATGCAGGATAAGCAGCGTGTGATTAAATTAGTTTAGGAAGGCCTAAAAACTAGTTTCCGGAAAGCACAATCAGATCAATAAAGGCAGAATTTGTATCATTTGGAGGTTATAAATGGGAAAATCAGAGGTTGATGTAGAGTGGCCAGTTTATATTGTTATTTTTTCCATTAGTTTATGTACAGGTATTTGCATTTGGCGAATTTGAATTTGGCGCAATTTTGCCAGTCTATATTACTCTTGAAATACAAGATGTTACTGTACTTGCAAATGCATCTTAATTGTATGCTCGCCACACCTAGCCTAGTGCTGCTAATAAATGTAGCTCTCCTGCTCTCGTAGCAAATATATTTTTACTAATGCTACCATGCTTAGCTTAGTTCTGAGTACTGCTACTAGTGCATGTATGATAGTCCCACTACTTAAACATCTTATTACAGCTATTATTAAGCCTAGCCCGGTTTCCTGCTACTACATCTATCTAAATACAGTTACTATCATGCTTAACCAAATACCACACATAGCCTAATACAGTTATTACCCCAAAATAGGCAAGTACAGTTATGAATACACACAGGGAAGTACACTTACTACCACTCATAGCCTAGTACAGTTACTACCACACATAGGCAAGTACAGTTACCACCATGTAGGGGCAAGTGTAATTCATAGTTAATGACAATTACTGTACTGCCACATATAACCTCATACAGTTACTACTACACATAGCCTTGTACAGTTACTAGTATACAGTTACTACCACACATAGTACCTGTATTGTGCAGTTACTGCCACAACTAGTTCAATATTACCAAAACTACACCTAATAGTCTGGCTAGTACTGTATTGTACTGTAGACTTGCATAGATTCCCTGTATTAGTTAATTGGTTTAGGTATACCAGTGTCTTGGGCACAACTATCCACAGGATTTTCTGGCTGTAATAAAAGTCCTTTGTTGATATAAAACTTATTTAAACAAAAGATAAATCTTTAAATTATTTTGCTGATTTTTTGTTCTTCGCCTGAATAAACGGCACTTTAAATAGACTTCAAGGTTACACAGGTTCTCTCTCCAACGCCCACACAGCCCTGGGTTCTAGTGCAACTGCATTACCTGTACTTTACTGTGGACAAATGCCATCTGCCCTTCTTTCCTGTAGTCCTGTAAACTCATGGATCTTAATGTGAATGAGTTTCTCCAATGCACATGTGTCATTAAGTGTAATCTTGTGAGTGCTGAGTCATTGAATTAATGTTTGATACATCTGTGGTATCTTCAAGCTTTTGATTATATGTTAACGTCATGTATACTCTTGGTGCTGACCTTTGTATTGGTTTCATAGCACCCACCCCCCATCCAGGAGTTGAAGCTTGATGTTTGTGTTGAATGTATACATAGTCTTAAATGCTTACTGCTCATGGTGACCTCAGATGATAACCATCTGTTGGAGTAATAATGTTGGTGGCCTTGTGGACACCACCGCACTTCCCTTTAGGGTGAATTCTCATATTTTTTAATGCGACCTTGAGCTTCTCTCATGGGGAAGATAGGTAGAGCATGGGGCTAATAGACCTTGGTGGTTTGTTCTTGTGTGTGGGTAAAGTGCATGTATGGGATAAAGGTAGGGGATGTATTTGGGTAATAGATAATATGTTGTTGCAATGGTTATTATGCTACTGGAATTATTTTTTTATAATATGATCTTAAACCTTGAATTAAGTGGTTTTAGTGAAAATCGTACAAAACACCTTTTAAAATGGGCAAAAGCAACTTATCTAACTGAATGATCTTCTTAAAACAGTTAAATTAGATACCGTACGGGTAAATAGATTTAGTTGTTTCGTTATGCCCATATTAAAAGAAATGGATAGTGCCACAGACTCCTTGACAGAAAAGAGCTGCACTACTTAATGATTAATATGACTCTTATGTGTTAGGTATGGAGGGGAAGGGTCCCTTGATCTGTTGAAAGTTGTTTTTGGTGTACCTTCTGTACTGTATGGGACCAATATCGGACACCTCGTAATTACTGTATAGCATCGC